GTGACCTAGGCAAAAAGACGTCTTGTTCCCGGCCCCAAATTCGAGGCACCCTGCAACCAACGTCAAGAGGGGCGTTGTTTGCGTTCTCCTTCCACGCGCTGGTCACATGGGTCTCTGAACGCCTTAGCGCCTGGAAGGAGAACAAGCAACGCCCCTGTGGAAGGAGAACAAGCAACGCACTCTGAGGTGCGTGAGGTACGGAAAAAGACGTCTTCTTGTCTAGGTCATATGGGGCTCTTAACAAGTGCAAAGAGACCAACCGACGCCCCTCTGCAGGGTACCTCAAGTTTGGGGTCAGGAAAAAACGTTTTTTTGCCTAGGTCACATGGGTCTCTTAACGACTGGAAGGGGAACAAGCAACGCCTCAGTGGAAGGAGAACAAACAGCGCGCCTTTGAGGTGCCTTGAATTTACATATGGGGCTCTGAGGAAGTGAAAAGAGACCAAACGACGCCCCTCTTAGGTCAAGTTTGGGGTCAGGAAAAGGACATCTTTTTGCCTAGGTCGCATGGGTCTCTTAACGCCTTAGCGCATGGAAGGACAACAAGCAACGCCCCAATGGAAGGAGAACAAGCAGCGCCCTCTGAGGTGCCTTGATTTTGGGGTAAGGAAAAAGACGTATTTTTGCCTAGAAGAGAGGGTGCCTCGAATTTGGGGTAAAAGATGTCTTAAAGACGTCTTTTTGCCTCGGCTCAAGATTGGGGTCAGGAAAAAGACGTCTTTCCTAGGTCACATGGGTCTTTTAACGTCTTAACGCCTGGAAGGAGAACAAGCAATGCCCATGTGCAAGGAGAACAAACAACGCTCCGCTGAGGTGCCTTGAATTTGGGGTAAGGAAAAAGAGGTTTTTTGCCTAGGCCCCTTGAGGGCGCTTTTCACGTGGAAGGAGAGGGTGCGTCGAATTTGGGGGCAGGACAAAGATGTTTTTTGCCTCGGTGACATGGGGCTCTTAACGAGAATGCAAACAACGCCGCTCTGACTTCGGCAGCGGGCTGAACACTTGACAGGAGAAGAACACTAGGGTCTACTCTTTGAACTTTGAACCACCCCCCGAAAGGGTATAAAAGCAAGGCCCCAGTTTTTTTGTAAGTCAAACAAGGCCTTCTTGACACTTTCCTGTTTTTCGTGTCCCAGTGCTGAGGATGCCGGAAATGCAAGGGATGCAACCACACAACTTGCAGGAACAGACCCACTCTTCGCGCTCAAGATTTTAAGACTTTCAGACACGCAACATTGACCAAACACAGAAAATACCAGAGATGTGGGGAATGCTGGGAATGCAGCCGGCTAGCCACAAAAAAGTGCAAAAAACCAGGGTGTTTAGATATTTCTAAAAAGCAACCATCAAAAACCGATGCTAGCAACCCGCTCAAATACCCTAAGAATAGACTTCCAAACGCACGATGATGCAGGGGATGTTTCGCAGTAACTGCTCCGTACAGGTGGGGAACTGCAAAAAAAACTCATTTTTGCAAATTTCAACAATTCCTCAAAGTATCACTGCACTTGGCCCCACCCAAATCCTGATGATACTGGGGTGCAGATCCTGCGCGTCCCGGGGAAACCCCCCCCTTTTCAAACCGAGGCGAAACGCAGATTTTTAGCACGAAAGACCCAAACACACTAGAAAAAATACAGGTTTTGGACACCTAGCACAGCATGCCCAAAAAATAGCAGTCCCAAAAGCCTTCGGCTTTGATAAGAGATTCCGAAGGAAGACCAAGTTGCGGACTGCCATCTACACGCTCGACTGGTGTCGGCGGATTCATCATTTTCCCCTGTTGGTTTGAAAGGAAGGACTACCTTTTTCTTTTTCAGCGGACTCAAGCAACTCTTCAGCCCTTGATAGTACGTATTTTGCCACTGGGTGGTGATGCCAATCTGCTGGGCCACGCACCCCCATGGTTCTATTCATCCATCCATTCAACAAACCCAAAAGAGAAACCGGGCAAGTCAATGCTTTGGAAAAGCGATCCCTTTGGTCCATTGGTTGGGGGAAGCATCTAGCATGAGAATTTGTGGCCTGCAAGGGTTCCCTGTCTGCTGATTAAACTGGATTGTGATTGCCCCCTTGATTGCCCCCTTGATTTCCCTTTCTAGAGTTCTAGAATCAGTGATTCCTTTATTCAAAGTATATACGCTGAATCTTAGTAGAGAGTATATAGACACATGGGGGGGTGTCAAACAAGATCCCCTTTTTCGGTATCCTTCTTGTTATCTTTTGCGCAAGGCGAGGTCCAAAAAGGAACCGGCCATTTGACAGGGCTACATGCAGCGGGAGAAGCAGCTCCATGTCAGATACTCAGGGAACTGGCTCACGGAGCGCGAAGGTAGCCCAGAGGGTCCAAGTACCTCATGAGGATGGCTTTTGGGGGGCAAAAGGGGCTCCTTAGAAGGTACTTGGACCCTCTGGGTAGGGAAAAGAACCCAACAAACAAATCCGTTGGAGAACTTTGGACTGATCGTCCGGACGTACAAGCTAGAAAATGTGGGTGTTGCAAGTTTTGCTTTCCGTAGTCAGTCAATGAAAGCAAATGGTGAGCGCTGTGTCAATTTCCAGCTTGCCGCATCTACGATGTGTGCTAAGACGAGTTGAAGCGCCCCTTTCTCCTTCTTCTTTCTCCTTGCCTCTTCCTTTTTCGGTCTGTCTTTGAACCCTTTTGGTTGACCCTTTGGGTGCTGTCTCATGTTATTGAAAACACAAGAGATTCGAAGATTTCGGCCTTCGGACCATTGACCTTTAACGTATACCATCTCAAAAAAACACCGTGTGTGTGTGTGTGTGTTTTCTCATGCATGTTCTTTTTTTCGTTCAACTTGTTTCTCAACAAGGCGTTTGTTTCAAGCTGAAGTAGCATCCCTTGGAGTCTCAGCCAGGCGCAACACAGAAAACAATGCAACAAAAACACGAAGGGTGGCGGAAACCATTGTAATTAGACGCAAACTCAGGAGAGCCAGTGCACTTGCGAGGACCCCCGAGTTGGAGATGGTGGATCGGCTCACATGGATCACCACTCCAGGACTCCAGGACTCCAGAAGCTTGAGAAGGGTCACACCCGACTTTTCCCTCACCAGATCTCGGTTTTCATTAGATCCCAACTCCAAACGACCGATGGAGTCTGAGGATATGATGGAGCAGCTGACCAATACCTACCAGGAGGCCAGAGCTTCGGACTTCGAAGCAGCTGGAAGAGCAAAGTTCAAGTTGCCTTTGCAATGGCTCTTTAGCCTTGGGACATGTCTCCGGTCGCTCAGTTACCCTTTTCTGGACCTAAAGAAGTTGCAGTGTCGATGGAACCCTTCAGCATCCAGTGACCCCTGATGGTTGAATTGTAGATTTAGACTATGTTTGCATTCAAATCGGCAAACATAGGAGCTCTTTCTTGCTGCAAGACGAGGGTTTGTATGTCTCAGTGCCCGGTGCCAGATCGGGTCCAGTAGTTGGAGGGAATCCAACCCTTTTGGTAGTTGGAGGGAAACCAAATGGAAACCAACTCTTTTAGGGGACCACTATGTTGAGAAGAACTCAGATGACAAGGTATGTCCAACAGCTCATGTTAGGCCAGATTGCTCGATTTTGCATGACCAGAATCCCAGCGACACTCTGGTACTGTGGATGGACAAACTCCCCGCCGACCGGAGCCAGTTGGGATTGGCGGTTTATCCCAATACTCGAGCGTCATTCATTCCAACTGGCGCGAATCGGATCTTGTCCATGGGCACCTGAAGGGGAACATTTGGTGTGTGCCGTTTTTTTTTCAATACCAAGGCCGGTTTGGTGATTGTTTTGTGGTGCAGTTCAGGACAAGCCCCTGGAGCCCAACTCAAAGTTTCTAAGACGGTGTGTTGAGCGAAATCTTCAAAAACCTTTGTTTTGCGAGTTCGCTTTCCCTTGGTGATGTGTACGTTTCTGATTCTAGGAAACGCTGATCTTGTTTCCACTGGATCTTCAGCGACGCCCGGGGCAATTACATGTGCGGAGAAATATAGGAACGCTGATTTGGCTTCCGCTGGATACGTGAGCCAGGCCCTCAAAAAGCAAAATGGTAGTGAAGAGTAATGCTCCCCGAAAATGGGTTGTGTTTATTCTGGTTTCCCGTTAAAACCACCACAAAGAGTTACCCTTAAAGGAGGCACTCCCAAATGGAAGCAGTTTTGGTTGGCTTTGAATGTCAGAGCTTGAATCTGAATTGTCGTTTCCCCCGAAAGGAACAACCGAGAAGGTTTCACATCGCCCTTTTCAAAAACGTGATGTCGGCGACTTCCCCGATTGTGAAGAACCAAAAAGGATCCATCAAGTCGCAACCACCTGACGTTCACCCGAATTTAGCCAAATACGAGGTTCTGTGTGCGAGTTTGCCCCCGTTGATTTGGGACATTGCCAGGCTTGCTTTGTGATATCGGATTGTGCATCTTGAGGCTGGAGCTTCAGGCCCGCTTGACCATCTTCACTTCAGAGTTGTTATTCCTCGACACCACGGCTGCGTTTGGGCATCAGGTTCTGCATTTGGCCTTTGCCCCTGGCTCGCCCCTTTCTCGTCAGGTGCTCGGGCCCCTTACGAAACCCACCCAGGTAGGATCCTGGTCCGCATCGAAGGATTGCGAGTAGCCTCACCGCAAACCGCAGTAGCCTTGAAGGTTCCCCTTGTTCGCCACTTGCGAGACTTGGGTATCTCTAGGTCGTGATGTTTGTCAAGACACTCGTATGCCACCGCAGATATAAAGTGCCCGAAATGTCCAGCATGCGCTCAAGATGATCCATTGCCAGCAAGTCGGAAAGGGCCACCATTGAACATGCCCTCACTCAGCCAGCAAAGATAGCCATGATCAGCCTTGCCTTTGCCCCAGGTGCTGAATGAAGCAATGACTTGTGCCACCAGCTTGAACCTTCGAGAAAAAAAACAGAAAAAAACGAAACAAAACAAAAAAGTCAAAAAATACACACAAAAAACGCAGCATGCGCAAGCACCACAGGACATACGTTGAGATGAGAGAAGTCGCTGACACTTTGACGCTTTGACGCGTTGGCCCTGCCCTTTGGCCCTTTGCCGCCTGGAGAAGTGGATCGATATTCCGCCATGCCATGGACGCGGAGTCCGAAGGCTGGGAGAGACGTCTCCGCGGAAAGCGACTCCGTGCCAAGTCGGAGCGACGCCGTTTTCCGAGCGTTTGACTCCCCGATGGCAGATGAACAACCTGGTTAGCCAAGTTGCTGCTTTTTTCAGTCACTGTTGCAGCTTTTTGGGGTAAAGTAGATGGAAAAAAACAGCAACTGGTAACCAGGAAGTTGCAATAGGAAGTGGAAGGGCATTCAGCTTGGCCGCTTAAGGATGCTACCGTTCAATGCTTCCTGGGGTTTGGGGGGGGGATGGGGGTCGGCAGGTACATCTCAGCGGATGCACTCAGAGACCCAATGGGCAAGTGGCGCAGAGTCCAGCGGGCGATTCTCCAGAGGGTTGATTCCTTAAACTCAGTACAATAAACATCAAGTAGCATTTTAAGGACATCCTGTCGCTTGCCATAGTCTTTGCGCCCTATCGTCCTAGGCTAGATTCAAACATTGGCTACACCATTCACGACAGTTTGTGCAAGATGGGGGGTCCACTAAGTAGAAGGATCACAGAATCGCTGCAAGGACTCCAAGGTAAAGTTGAGAGCCGTGTTGGCCGTTTGCTCGAGTCCGCAGGTGCATGAAGGGCTTTGATATGTAACAGCAGCCAGTTGTTTTGTTTTCAAATGTTGGACATGACAGACATCCCCTGTTGTCTCTCAGCCCAAGAGCTTATGTCGACATCAAAGGACCTGGGTTAGCCTTACGATATCCTTACCTGTATGCCCGCACCAGATCCTTGTACCTGCTTGAACTGCTAACCCTGACCTATTCATGGGATGGGTCCTTGCGGATGGCCGCTTGGCTTTTCCTCAAAACACAGACACAGGATCAGTGCTGGTGCGTTTCTTCTTGCTTCCTTTGCCACCTTGGAAAGCAGTTTTTGCCAAGATTAAGATTCCCTAGATTGGATGTGGGTTTGTCTGTTCTTTTGGATTTGGACCCCCCAAATTTGTGCTTGTTTTCCAACAGGGAGTCAGAGTCAGCTTGAGTCCGTGGATCACGTAGGCGACAGCTCCAGCTCGAGCAGCCTTGCTTGCACTATTTGGTCTGGGCTGGAAGAAAGCTGGCGATCACTTGGCGTTGTTTTCCGCTTTTGGTTGAAAACTGGCTGCGGCTTTCAACATCAATCGTGTTGCCTTTGGTACACGTCCCAAGCAAGTAAGCATCGCACGAAGTTCACGCCTGCCGCTGCAAGTGGGTATGAATTGGGCTCGTTTTCTCGCTGGAAGCAGCAACTCTGGGTCGCCTGAGTGCCCTCTTGAACCTGAGTCATTTCTTTGCACACCTCAAAGGGGGTGACAGAAGTTCTGTCATGGATTCAAAGCAACCAGCTGATGCAAAAAAACAGTGTAAAGCTGCTGAATTGTTTGGCTTCAATGCACCGCTACAGTTTGCGACCTCATAGACACCACTTCAATAGACCCGCAGGTTCCTTTCCTACATGTCCACTTTGAACATCACCCGCATGCAACCCACGGTTGATTCTTTATATATTGCCCGAATCAGGCAGGGGGCAACTTTCAATTTACCGCGGCTTCCGGTTGGTCCACTTGTGACGTTGGAGTCAGCTTCCCTCATAGATGTGGTGTCATTGGATGCTATGGCGCCGGAGCCAAATGCCTGAGTAGCGCCACATTGACATCACAAGCTGCGAGTTTCCGTGGTAGCCACACCTCAAGCAGCTGATTTAATGCTACCGCATGAGTGCACCTGGCTGCTTCGTCCTCAGGTGGGATATTCAGAGCTCCGTTTGCGCCCGGCTCAAAACGGTGTTTGAATTCACTGGGTCCTCCTTTCATGGTCACCACAGCCATAGTTGTACCCCTCCTCGTGGTTTGGAACCAGGGCTCTTAATCATCGTTCAATTCTGGCGTAGCAGCACCAATTACCAAACTCCCAACCTCAACTACCAATCCAAACAATCAAGCTAAAGCACCCAAGCGCATTCACCACCCCAGTACGCTTTCAGCTGTTGAGGGCTCCTCCAAGTCTGAACAACTGGCGTTTCGTTTTCCTTTTGGATTCCCTTTGATTCAAGAACCAACCCAGCATTAGTCCATGAGATCCACAGCAACCCCCACCTCCACACCCGGCAGCTTCCTTCCGGCTCAGGCGAGAGTGAGGCTGCGGCTCCTTTGGGCTTCCTTTGGAGCGTCCCTCGGTGGACGCGGAAATCGGTTGAGCTGTTGAGCTGTGTAGGTGTTCAAAGGCTTGGTCGCTGCTTGCACTTCATTCTGCCATATTCTGCCCAGTTCGGAGGTGCACCAGCTCAAGTCTTTGAAGCGGAATCCTAGTTGATTCTCAGCTCAAACAGAGCTCAAGGTGGTTGCCTTCATGCAAGCTGTGTTTTAACCATGCGCTTATACATATGTCTATATTAGTGTTTATAATATGCATGTGTGTGTGTAATACGAATGAATTATGCCTTCCCTTGCGAATTGTGGATTCGAGTGGCTTACACCATCCCAATCTGAGGCGCAGAACCTGCCACGCCCTTCGAGCACCAGCTCCGACGCAGGCCAGGAAGCCAGGAAGGTACCGGGGGAACTCGGCGGTCCCCGCAGCGTGAGAAGGTCAAAGTGGCCCCCAGAAATAGGCCATGGGATGGGCGAAGTCTGGTTCGCCGCGGATGGATGAATTCGTACAGTTGGACGAAATCCGCTGCGCACCAGTTGGGATGGATGAAACCGTAGAAAGTCTGGGAGAAACCAATACCACCTACCAACTGGTGCATGCTGCTTGAAATAACTAACGCACGCAGTAGCAGAGGCACTTGCTCTTTGATCGAACCTTTAATCAGAGCGTGTTGTACCAACAGTTCAACGGGTTAAGCTTGGAGTTCTTGCTCACGTCACCTTTTGGTTGTCAATAAGTGAGTTTCCTTGTTGGGGTGATGCTTACAGGGGAGATGTAGGAAGGCTGTTATTTGGTCATGGGAGTTAAGAGAACATGGGGAACACTTGATTTTTCCTCTCTTTTTTTGTTGGGGGAGGACCGGACGTGATTCGGCCCGCGTTTGAACGGAAGCACAAGCAAGGTAGTTAAATAGGTGTTCAAGCATGTCTTAGCATGGGGATGGCCCACTTGGAGTTGTAGCCGTGGCTTTGGGCTTTATCTTTTAAGTGGATCAACAAACGAGGGGTTTCCAGGGCGTCCCTTGAAGTGGACTTGTTAGGCGGACCTGGCCAGTTTTGCTGTTGGCAACAGGTGAGTGCCCTGATATGGCTATGTCTCAAAATGATAAAGCCCCCCCAATGGGTTTAGGGTTGGTGTCTCAGCCCCAAGAAGGGTTGTCAAACAAACACCGCCCCATTTTTTCTGGGAAGACCGAGAGACCGGCGCATATGCCATGCGGTGGGCTTCGCTCTCGGCTATGCACGCTTGCCGTCAACCAGGGGTGCACTAATCCTTGTCATTAACCCTGGTTTTGACCAAGGCCATGGTTGTAGGTCCGCTGGCGAAGAAAAAACAAGACAGAGCCCACGAACCCGAATGCACATCACTTTGCGCAAACCCAAGAAAATAATTAGAGAGAACATTTTTCGGTATAAGCCAATGGGGCTCGCAATCAAGCCTACCGCGCAAACTATGTTTTTCAGCTTGTAAAACTGTACTTTGCGTGCTCCACTTGTTGCTACAAAGCTACGATTTTCAATCTGGAGCTGGACACCTGCGCTTCGCGCGCTAGGCTTGTACTACAAAGTTGCGATTTTCCAGCCGGAGCTTCGCGCACTAGACTTGCGCTACACAGCTGCGATTGTCCAGCTAGAGCTGAAAACCTGTCCTTTGCGCACTGGAATTGCACTACACAGTTTCGATTTTCAAGCTGGAGCTCAAAACCTGTACTTCGCGTACTATTCTTGCACTTCAAAGTTGCGATCTTCCAGCCAGAGCTGGAAACTTGTACTTCACGTACTATACTTGCACTACAAAGTTGTGACTTTCCAGCTAGTGCTGGAAACTTGCACACTTCGCGCACTAGACTTGTACTTCAAAGTTGCGATTCTCCAGCTAGAGCTGGTACTACCAAGTTGCGATTTTCGAGCTAGAGCTGGAAACCTGTACTTTGCGTACTAGACTTGTACTACAGAGTCGCAATTTACAGCTGGAGCTGGAAACCTGTACTTCGCGTACTAGACTTGTACTACAAAGTCGCGATTTTCTATCTAGAGCTAGAACCCTGTACTTCGCGTACTAGACTTGTGCTACAAAGTCGATTTTCCAGCTAGAGCTAGAAACCTGTACTTCGCACGTTAGACTGGTACTACCAAGTTGCGATTTTCCAGCTGGAGCTGGAAACCCGTACTTCGCGTACTAGACTTGCACTTCAAAGTTGTGATTTTCCAAAAACCTGTACTTCGCGCGCTACACTTGCTACAAAGTTGCGATTTTCCAGCTAGAGCTCGAAACCTGTACTTCGCGCACTAGACTTGCGCAACAAAGTTGCGATTTTCCAGCGCGTACTAGACTTCTGAGCGACACGTCTGAGCACGACTTCTGATTGACACTTCTGAGCGACACTTTTGAGCGACACCTGATCAACACTTCTGAACCACACTTTTTCTGATCGACACTTTTGAGCAACACTTTTGATCCGCACTTCTGATTGACACTTCTGATCGACAGATTGAGCAACACTGCTGAACCACACTTCTGATTGACAATGATGAGCAACACTTCTGATCCAAATTTCTCATCGACAGTTCTGAGCAACACTTCTGAGCAACACTTCTGATCCACACTGCTCATCGACACTTCTGAGGAACCCTTCTCATCAACACTTCTGAGCAACAATTGGCACTTCTGAGCGAACTTTTTGAGCGACACCTGACCAACACTTCTGAACCACACTTTTTCCTGATCGACGCTTCTGAGCAACACTTCTGACAGAGACTTTTTCTGAACGACTTTTCTGAGCAACACTTCTGATTGACACTTCTGAGCAACACGTTTGAGCGACACCTGACCAACACTTCTGAACCACACTTTTTCTGATCGACACGTCTGAGCAACACTTCTGAGCGACACTTTTTCTGACCGACTGTTCTGAGCAACACTTCTGATTGACACTTCTGAGCGACACCTGATCAACACTTCTGAACCACACTTTTCTGATCGACACTTCTGAGCAACACTTCTGAGCGACACCTTTTCTGATCGACATTTCTGAGCAACACTCCTGATCGACACTGTTGAGCAAACACTTTTGATCCGCACTCGTGCTCGACGCTTCTGATCGACAGTTTCAGCAACACTGCTGAACCCCACTTCTGATTGACACTGATGAGCAACACTTCTGATCCACACTTCTCATCGACAGTTCTGAGAAGCACTTCTGACCAACACTTCTGATCCACACTGCTCATCGACACTTCTGAACGACACTTGTCAGCAACACTGCTGAATTGACGCTTCTGAGCGACACTTCTGAGCAACACTTCTGACCGACACTTCTGAGCGAGCAACACTTCTTACCCACACTTCTGATTGACACTTCTGAGCGACACTTTTGAGCGACGCCTGACCAACACTTCTGAACCACACTTTTTCTGATCGACACTTCTGAGCAACACTTGTGAGAGACACTTTTTCTGACCGACTGTTCTGAGCAACACTTCTGATTGACACTTCTGAGCAACACGTTTGAGCAGCGCCTGGGAGACTTTTTCTGAACGACTTTTCTGAGCAACAATTCTGATTGACACTTCTGAGCAACACGTTTGAGCGACACCTGACCAACACTTCTGAACCACACTCTTTCTGATCGACACTTCTGAGCGACACTTCTGAGTGAGCAACACTTCTTACCCACACTTTTGATTGACACTTCTGAGCGACACTTTTGAGCGACACCTGATCAACACTTCTGAACTACACTTCTTCTGATCAACACTTCTGAGCGACACTTCTGAGCGACACTTTTTCTGATCGACTTTTCTGAGCAACACTTCTGATCAACGCTTCTGATCGACACTTCTGAGCAACACTTTTGATCCGCACTTGCGCTCGACACTTCTGGTCGACAGTTTGAGCAACACTGCTGAACCACACTTCTGATTGACACTGATGAGCAACACTTCTGATCCACACTTCTCATCGACAGTTCTGAGCAACACGTCTGATCCACACTTCTGATCTGATCAACAGTTCTAGTTCTGAGCAACACTTCTGATCCACACTTCTGACAACATTTCTGAGGGACACGTCTGAGCAACACTTCTCAGCAACACTTCTGTTCGACACTTCTGATCGACACTTCTGAGCAACACTTCTGATCGAGACTTCCGAGCAACACTTCTGTCGACACTTCCGATGAGCGACGCTTTTGTCGACACTTCTGAACGACACTTCTAATCGACACTTCTGAACGACACTTCTAATGGACACTTGTGATCGGCACTTCTGAACGCAACTTCTGTCTCCAAACGCGCACCGCGCCACAGCGAGAGCGATTCGACCCACCTAAAGCGCGCAGAGGGTTCGCTTTGCGCGCTCAAAATGTGCACCGCGCCACAGTGAGAGCGATTCGACCCACCCGATGTGCGCAGGGGCTTCGCATGCTCAAAATGCGCACCGCGCCACAGCGAGAGCGATTTGACCCACCCAAAGTGCGCAGAGGGTTCGCTTCGCACGCTCAAAATGTGCACCGCGCCACAGCGAGAGCGATTCGACCCACCCAAAGTGCGCAGAGGGTTCGCTTCGCGTGCTCAAAATGTGCGCCTCGCCACAGCGAGAGCGATTCGACCCACCCAAAGTGCGCAGAGGGTTCGCTTCGCGTGCTCAAAATGTGCGCCGCGCCACAGCGAGAGCGATCTCGCTGAGTCAAAGTGACGCGCTTGCCACGAAATCTACACCCAGACACCCAAGTGCTGCGCCTGCCACGAAATTTGCACGAAAAGCTCGAAAGTGCTGCGCCTGCTCGAAATTCAACCAAAACGCTCGAAAGTGCCGCGCCTGTCACACAAAGTAAGCTTGCCAGAAACTCAAAATCATCCAAAGCGCTGGACCTGCCACGAAATCAATTTTGACACGTTTACGACACGCATCCAAAACTAGCATGGGACTGTGGCGCCAGAATGACAGGCTCGCCAAAACGAGCCGATTGTACGACAGGGCCAACGAAAACGGCGTCGGCGCAAACACTATGACGCGCCTGCCAAGCAGGACACCTCAAAGCGACCACCGTGGATCGCAGATCCCAATGGCACGGCAAAGAACACGCAGCCTTCCAAAACACTGCGCCTGCGCAGCGAAACGACACGTCGAGCTTCGAGAAGCTACGATTCGCGCACGGGGTCAACGAAAACAGCCCTTGCCGATCCATCAAAGACACGCTTCCACGACAAATCCCAATGGCACACGCTTATCGCCTCACCGCGGACGGTTGCGGACGGTTGCGGACGGTTGCGGACGGTTGCGAACGGTTGCGAACTCCGAAGCAACTCCTCGCGAACACGCCCTCCACCCCCAGACCCCCACTTATAAACGGGAACCCTTCGCTACGCATTGGGGAGAAAGAAGGGTGCTGCCCTGTTGGCATGGTCCAAGCATCAGGATCTTTTCTCACCGCAGATTTTGAGCCATAAGTGTCCTTTCTGGTTGTTCTCAAAAAGTAGATGGCGATTCCGATCGCTTTACCTGGTGGTTTAATCATCCAGGAAAATCCAAATCGATTTCCCCTAATGGTGGTTGTCAAAACCAATGGTAACATTTTGGGATAGGTGAACTCACCACCCATTCTAGGGCCTATTTTAGTGGTTGGATTGGTTGATGTTCACTGGGGGCTAACCGATTTGGGTTTTGACCCATGGCCAAATCTGGGTCACCCCCCCAAAAGAAACGCCCCACCATGCACAAGGGGTCAAAACATGGGTTTGGACCCATGTGGACATGGTTTTGACCCATGGCCAATTTGGGTTTTGGCCCATGTGTTGAAGCCTCTCTGTCCGCAAAACATTGCTCAGATATGCAATTTCCCGAAGGGGCCTCGGACTTGAGCCGCTTTAAGTTTCGCCGCGGGATCAAGTTTCGTCAAGAAAAGGTTTGGACTAGGTACGGCTCTTGCAACCATTTGAAACATGGCTTTCTTTTTCAACACAAAATACCATGTACAAATTGCAATGTTCAGGTGTATAATGAAAGGATCCCTGATGGATTGGACTGTTGGTTCGTGTTTGGCAACTGGAATGCACCCAAAACCCTTCTGAAGGCGCCATGAGGGTGCATGTTTACTTGCCTAGTGGAGCTGGTTTTTCCACAGAACTCTTGCCAGCTACGCCCATCAGCGTGCTGAAGGCTGCAGCGCAGCAGCATTTCCAGCGCCGCTTGAAGCTCACTGCGAAAGGCCGGCAGCTCGATTTGACGGCCACGCTGGGTGAGGCCGGGTTGCGAAATGAGGATGTGGTGGTAGCCGTTGTGCAACTTGGCAGATTGGCTGCCACTCGCAAGGCATTTGCTTTGTGTGGTCACGGAGACGAGGTTGTGACCTCGGGTAGTCCAGAATCTGGGGGAGACAGCAGCCAGGTGCAAGATCAACTGAGACACGTGCATCACATCCAAGCAGCCGAGCATGCTTTTGCGGCCATCCTTGAATCTGGGGCTGTTGTGACCTGGGGTAATCCACAATGGGGCGGAGACGGCAGCAGGGTGCAAGAGCAGCTGAGGAACGTCCAGCACGTCCAAGCAACTGCCCGTGCTTTTGCTGCCATTCTTGAATCTGGGGCTGTTGTGACCTGGGGTCATCCACAGTTCGGCGGAGACAGCAACCAGGTGCAAGAGCAGCTGAGGAACGTCCGGCACGTCCAAGCAACTTACAAAGCTTTTGCTGCCATACTTGAATCTGGGGCTGTTGTGACCTGGGGCGATCCAAACTGGGGCGGTGACAGCAGCCAGGTGCAAGAGCAGCTGAGGAACGTCAAGAACATCCAAGCAACTGAACGTGCTTTTGCTGCCATACTTGAATCTGGGGCTGTTGTGACCTGGGGTGAGCCACACTTCGGCGGAGACAGCAACCAGGTGCAAGAGCAGCTGAGGAACGTCCAGCACATCCAAGCAACTGGTGGTGCTTTTGCTGCCATTCTTGAATCTGGGGCTGTTGTGACCTGGGGCAATCGACGCGGGGGCGGAGACAGCAGTGAGGTGCAAGAGCAGCTGAGGAACGTCCAGCACATCCAAGCAGCCGAGCATGCTTTTGCAGCCATCCTTGAATCTGGGGCTGTTGTGACCTGGGGCTATCACGGGGGCGGAGACAGCAACCAGGTGCAAGAGCAGCTGAGGAACGTCCGGCACGTCCAAGCAACTTACAAAGCTTTTGCTGCCATACTTGAATCTGGGGCTGTTGTGACCTGGGGCGATCCAAACTGGGGCGGAGACAGCAGACAGGTACAAGAGCAGTTGAGGAACGTCCAGCACATCCAAGCAACTGAAACTGCCTTTGCTGCCATTCTTGAATCTGGGGCTGTTGTGACCTGGGGTCATTCAGCATACGGCGGAGACAGCAACCAGGTGCAAGAGCAGCTGAGGAACGTCCAGCACGTCCACGCAACTGCCTGTGCTTTTGCTGCCATACTTGAATCTGGGGCTGTTGTGACCTGGGGTCATCCAGAATTTGGTGCAAGAGCAGCTGAGGAACGTCCAAGCAACCGCCGGCGCTTTTGCTCCCATCCTTGAATCTGGAGCTGCTGTTGTGACCTGCGGTGTGTTGTAAAACGGCGTCCAGCCAATCTGGAGCACATGAATGAAAGAAAAGAACAATCCAAGGCACGTTTCCATTGACGCTTGGCAACAGCGTGTCTGGCTGTGTCTGATTTGTAACCCCCCCCTCCAAACAAATGGCATCGGTTTTCGTTTTGGTTTCCCTTTCACGGCCACTGAAAACGGGCACCGAGCCTCAAACAAACCATGCCAACACAAACCCGATCCACCAACTGTCTCACATCACACTACTAGTCTCCAGGTCATAAAGACTAGGTCATGGGGAGACCAACCTACCAAGCAAGCACCTGCAAAGACCTTCAATGGGAGTTCTCTGGCACACGCCGGCTTGCTTTTTCAAGACCAAGGGCAAATCTGTATCAGAGAGGGGTGGGGGTCAGGCCAAGTTTTTAACAGAATCGTTTTTCCCCATACTTGGCCCGGCCTGGTAGCCGGCGAAGATGTCGTCGGGGAGGCCCCGGTGCGTGTCAAAAAAAACCCAACACCTTTCAGAAACCCTTATTCGGACACTACCTCGTAATTCGGGGTTTGGAGCCCACGTGGGGCCGGCGGGCTCGCCGTAAACTGGACAGACAAAAAATCAGTCACGAAAGGTGCAACATGATGAGTCAAGGCACAAGGAGGCCCAAGCGAGATCCGCACTTCTGATCTGATCAACACTTCTGATCCACACTTCCGAGGGACGACACGTCTGAGCAACACTTCTGAGCAACACTTCTGTTCGACCCTTTTGATCGACTCTGCAACACTTCTGCATCGCGTTACAGCGAGAGCGATTTGAGCCGTCCAAAGTGCGCAGAGGGCTCGCTTCGCGTTCGCAAAATGTGCCGCGCCACAGCGAGAGCGATTTGACCCACCCAAAGTGCGCAGAGGATTTGCTTCGCGTTCACAAAATGTTCACCGCGCCACAGCGAGAGCGATCTCGCTGGGTCAAAGTGCTTGCCACGAATCTACACCCAGGCGCACTCAAAATACTCACCGCACCGTACAGCCAGAGCGCTTCGACCCACTCAAAGTGCGCAGAGGGTTCGCTTCGCGTTCACCAAATGTGCACCGCCACAGCGAGAGCGATCTTGCTGGGTCAAAGTGACGCGCTTGCCCTCAAATCTACACCCAGGCGCACTCAACATACGCACCGCACCGCTTTGGCTGCGCTTCGACCCACCCAAAGTGCGCAGAGCGTTCGCTTCGCGTTCACCAAATGTGCACCGCGCCACAGCGAGAGCGATCTCGCTGGGTCAAAGTGACGCGCTTGCCACGAAATCTACACCCATGCGCACTCAAAATACGCACCGCACCACAGCCAGAGCGCTTCGACCCACCCCAAGTGCACAGATGGCTCGCCTCGCGTGCGCAAAATGTGCACCGCGCCACAGCGAGAGCGATCTTGCTGAGTGAAAGTGACGCGCTTGCCACGAAATCTACACCCAGGCGCACTCAAAATGCGCGCCGCGCCACAGCGAGAGCGATTCGACCCACCAAGTGCGCAGAGGGTTCGCTTCGCGTGCTCAAAATGTGCGCCGCGCCACAGCGAGAGCGATCTCGCTGAGTCAAAGTGACGCGCTTGCCACGAAATCTACACCCAGACACCAAAGTGCTGCGCCTGCCACGAAATTTGCACGAAAAGCTCGAAAGTGCTGCGCCTGCCCCGAATTCAACCAAAACGCTCGAAAGTGCCGCGCCTGTCACGCAAAGCATGCTTGCTACAAACTCAAAATCATCCAAAGCGCTGGACCTGCCACGAAATCCAACCTTGACACATCCAAAACTAGCACGGGACTGCGGCGCCAGAGTGATGTCGACCAATTTTGACACGCTTCAGGCTTGCCAAAACGAGCCGATTGTACGACAGGGCCAACGAAAACGGCGCCGGTGTAAACACTATCGCGCGCCTGCCAAGCAGGACGCCTCAAAGCGACCACCCCTGGGTCGCAAATCCGCAACGAGGACGCGCAGCCTTCCAAAACACTGCGCCATACTGCGCCTGCGCAGCGAAACGACACGTCGAGCTTCGAGAAGCTACGATTCGCGCGCAGGGCCAACGAAAACAGCACTTGCCGATCCATCAAAAACACGCTTCCACGACGAATCCCAATGGCACACGCTTATCGCCTCACTGCGGACGGTTGCGAACGGTTGCAAACGGTTGCGAACGGTTGCGAACGGTTGCGAACGGTTGCGAACTCTGGAGCATCTCCTCGCGAACACGGTCTCCACCCCCAGACCCCCACTTATAAACGGGAACCCTTCGCTACTTCGGGAAAAAGGGGGATGTTCCAACCAAGGTCCCATGGGTTGTTCCCACCGCCATGGTTAGAATCAAAGGCACAAGTCTTGTACGCTGAGGCGAGTTCCGGCCTAGGGGCCATGTGGCGCTTCAGCGTGCCTTCAAGGAGTCGAAAGAGCCACCGGTTTTAGGGACCGCCATGAGGTCCCAAGATGCTTATGGCTTCCTTGGGGAAATAACCTTTGCTTTTCATAGTGGTGTGGTCATGTAGGGGAAAACCTGAAGCCCTGAATCTGTGCTTTTCATTCTAGTGTTGCGGTGTTTACTCTTGCCATGATGTAATGTTGTCTTGAATTTCCCCACTGCCCTATTCCAATTTGTTTGACCCTGAAATTGCTTGCCCTCTTTCCAGCAAACATGAGTCTGAGAGTGTGTTTTGCGTGGTTGGAAACCAGGACAACCAACACTTTGGGGCACTTTTGGGGAATTTGACACGCACCCACATGATGCTTGGCGGAAGATCGGAGTGTTTTGGACCAGTACCATCCGCTTGAAAAGGCCCTCAACATCTTCATGAAGGTTGGGAGGGCAAAGGTTAGTACTGGGTACCATTTTGGATAGACCTACCTGGGCCCCGACCCCCCCTTTTTTGGAGCAATGAAACTCACGGAGCTGTGTTGCAGTCAGACGGGTTTGGGTCTTGAGCCACGTCCAGCTTTGTGGCCCTACGTGGGACAACATGTTCGTGATGTGTATGTATATATGTATATACACACATTTCCTTCGCCACAACCAAGTCCTCTTACATGCTTATGATATTGTCAGTTTCCGAGTCATGACCTAGCATTTTTAGCTGCAAGCAAAAGGAAGATTCCAACCTGGGGCCCCAAAACACTGCTCTTTTTTTTGGTCAAAAGGCTTTGCGCAAAAAACATGGTCATACGGCCAAATACGTTTTATATATATATATATATATATATAAATCTCGACAAAATACGGGCTTTATACGGCGGGCACCTAAGGCAAATGACTTTTGACCAAACAAAAAAAGTGGTGTTTCGGCTCCAGGAAGACTATTGCACATGGGCAAGGAATGCCCAGGGACTGATCTATGTTTGGCAGAGAAATTCGAACGCTTGGGCGCACCTTAGCCATTTGCAGGGTAGCACCTGATGGTAGCACCCTGAAATGATCGAGTGACATGGTTCACGGTTGAGCCGATCTAAAGTGAGCAGTTTGGGACCAATTTGTCGCTTCTCCAAAGGACTGTTGGGGTTTACCGGATGTTGAGGGCGTTTCTTCGACAAATGATTCTGCCAGCGCAGAATCGACTACTGAGATCAATCCGTCTCGCGGTTGCTAGCCTGTTGGGCACCTAAGCGTCGATGTGGTCTGGCTGGCGTGACGCTTTGCACCACAACTTTCAACACGGAAGCGCGTCAAACCCGCGTGTTGCAAGACATATATAGCGTGCATTTTGTACATAGGGGGGATATGATTTCTTTGCTTCCAATTTGTTTGCGAGAGATACCCCTCGGCTGACTTTGCTTTCCAGCGCCATCTTTTTGTGGAGCTGGACGCCTGAAGATTCCTTCAGCTGGCCAGGAGAGGAAGGCCATGGAGGACATGGAGCGGGAGGCGCTGATTCTGCAGCTCATGCAAGTGGTGACGCTCTTTTGGAAGAGGCGGGCCAGCGAGCGCTTGCGCTTGCGCCCGAAAGGCTTCAAGCGGTTGATCCCCGAGGTTTGGTCGATTTGACACGGGACCAGGTTCAGCTGGCTTCGGCAGCGGCTTTCGCCCAGTTCGAAGCACCTGAGAATCTGGTAAACCTGACCTGCAATTTGCATGGGACGGGCAGCTGCTCCACCATGGTTTAAGACGTTGACGAACGCAATGCAATGTGGAGTTCCCAATAGTTTTCGTCGACACCTTTGTCAGGCCAACCCTGTGTTGACTCATCGTGTCGAGGCCAATGTGCGTATTGTTTAGCGAAGCATTGCCAGACTTAGTGTTAAATTGTTGCCTTTTCAGTTTTCCGTGTTTTTACCTTTCAACTGGCAAAACATGAGCTTTTTGCAGGCCGGGTGGCTAAGTCCAGCAATCGGTCTGCCGGCGCTTCTCACAGGCGCAAAGACCCGGAGTGGGCGAAGCCGCCCAAGGAGTTGTTGCGGAAGCACTTGACGGAAATCTGCAGCGGGGACCCCAGCGAAGATGTGTGGTGGGCTTTTCTGCAGGTTCCACACGAACTTTGGTCGATCCCAAAGGGTGCCTTTCGGGTGGAGTTTGAACTGGAGGGGCCGTGTGGCAGACGGGTCCTACTTTTCTTCGGAGGCATCCTCATGCCTACGGTAGGAAACGGGTTCTCGCCCATGTGCCTACTGTACCTACCACGGCCCGTCCCAGCATGGCCATGAATCCTGACAGCAGTTCACCGACCGCCCATGGAAGTTCCTTTTGTTGCGGAGCCGTATTTCAGACCTGTGATCCCTGGATCGCTGGCGCCCGCTGGTTCGTTGTGGCCCAAATATGTTTGAAAAACAGTTCCCACACCCCAGTGGGTCGGCCATGTTCACCTTGCGAACTTACGATCATGTGCTTCCCCTGAAGGGGCAATGGGTCCACAAAGGCAACCCAGGATTCACACCCTCACCAAACATTCGGTCGAACAAGCCCCCCTTCCGCCAGCCCTGGCAAGACCTGTGCGGCTTGGGCCCAATCCATGGGGCCATTCTTCGCCGGGGTGGAGATAAGACACCCTAGAGGAACATGGCCCATTTTCCCATGTTCGGAGGATGTCCACACAAACGCATCCCTTGTGGGAAGCAACCCTGACCAAAAAGGCTTGTCAATTGCCACAGGCCCAGATAAATGGGAAGGTGGTTTCGAAAGCAACAAACACATGTGCTGGTCGAGGGTGCCTGTTTTTGGTTTTGCACGGTGAAGGGGGACCGCCCAGTTGCGCACGCCCGGCCACACAACGCCCACAAACATGAGCTAGACAAATAGGGAACGCCAAAGAAAAGCCAGTCCATTTTGCCGTTAAGGCAAGGGAGCCCAAAGGGACTCAACACATTTGGAGTTCTGAAAGGCTCCCATTGAGCTTGCTTCAAAAGACCTGAGTCACAATCAAAACCAGGGTAGATTCTTTGAAGCTTACGCAAGGATCTTTGCATGGTTCTAAAGACACCATAGACCGATCGGTTTTTTTTGTGACTCACCGAAGGACGTTGTCCTTTGGTCGGTTCCAAAGGTTTGGGAGCCAGGCACCAGCCGTGCCGCCCGGCGTCTTGGGAACACCGCGGAAGCCTTGGCACCTCGGCAGGGTGTCTTGACGTCTGGGACGTTCTCCAATCAACGCCCCGGAAACGTCCCTCACTTTTTGAGTTTCGTGTCGATGTTTTGTCAGAACAGTTTCGCTGTGAGACCAAAACATATTTTTTAGTGGGAAGTAAACAGGGACTACCATTTTAGTGGTTTTGCAAACATATCTTTCAATGGTTGGAACTCTCTCAAAGATGGCGGACATCCCCAACGAGTTTTGATGCTATGGTCATGGTTCAACCACTTGAAACTCATTCCCATTCCACGTCCTCGGCTTCGGGCTTCGCAGTTGGCTGAGAAGAGGCAGCCGGAGCCTCTCGAGGCCGCAGAGACCTTTTTGGGGAAGCGGATATGCAAACAACTATTTAAAAGTATACTTATAACTTTTTGAAACTACTTGTCTTTACATGAAAATAGCAGATAAAGCAGAGGCCGATGCTGTTGCCCAGGAGGCGGCTGGAGGTGACCTTTGCAATTTCATCTTCAAACATTCAATGGCCCGCCGCGGCGTGCGCAGCTGGTGATATACCAGGGCAATGTGCCAGAGCAGTTGCCATCAGCCACAGTATGTTGTTGGAGGTATCTTTGACGGGGTTTTACAGACCTCAGCAGATCAAAAACATGCCCTGGGCTTGTTGGGGTTGGGACCTGACATGCTGCATTTTGAGTTTCATTGAATTTTGGCGGTTTTGAGTCTGAGATGCTGAGGTAGGACGCGGGTTTTGGAGGGACCCCCCAAACGGTTGGTTTCCTGGTGGCGCGCAAATGGCTCCATACACTTTTCTGTTGACATGCCTGGATTAGGACCCCAAATTTGTTGGAAGGGTTGCAGAACCCCGCAAAGTCTCCCAAACGAGGGTCTATTTAAGAGCCGTTCCGCCGGGGTTGGGGTGGCTTTGACTTGTATTTTATCCCGCTGTGAGCATGGCATGAATGAACCTCAGCTGGTGGATTTGACAGGACATCATAATTATTGGCATTTTGCTTGGCGGAAGTCAAAGCAAATGGAAGGTAGTTCTCCATGCTTGTTTTCTGTTTTGGGAGGCTGATAACCAATTATGGTGGCAGTCATAGCGGCGCTCCCATGATGAAGGTCCCTCACTACTCCCATTTTGGGGGGGAGTTCCTGAATTCTGAAATTATGGTACTTGCAGTGTATTATAGCAATTAGCGTATATGTTTTTGGCATCCCGATGTTCCAGTGGTGAGTTTGCACGTCATCCCGCCATCGTCCCTTTGCTACAGTACTATAGTAGCTGGTGAACCACGCTGACATAGATGTTGGCAAGCCTTTTGGAATTTGCTTTTCCGAGGTCAAATTATTTTTGAGCGAGAGAGTAATGCTGGGGTTCCAAGTTTCAACTATACCGTGGTGCTAATTGACAGGAACGTACTGAATGCATGTTTAGGCCTGTCTTGTTTGAAGCTGCCCTTGTGGGTGCAATTCTTATTTTGCGACAAGCCCGTTGCAGTTTGGTCAGAGAACATGTGGCCAGATTGAGGAAGTGGAGCGATGTTCCTAAGGGAGAAGCTGAGTGCTGCATGCGGCCCTTGGGTCCCCGGTTTTCGGCACCTTTTGGAGTTGACCCTATCGAAGCAAGCTTTGCGTGAGAGCATGCTGACCGATCAGCGCGCCTCGAAACTTTGGCCTCCAAGTGCACTAGCCCTCTTGACGACATGCCACACTTCGCCTTAGGTGGCAAAAGGACATTAGTCCGGGCGTGTGCGTAAAACACATCAAGCTGCAGATCTGAAAGATTCCATTCGAGGTTTCAAGCGTTTAATGACATTTGAACATCTTTCTGAAGTGAGATCTTGTTTGTTCAAGGTGTTACACCTGACCTTGGCAACAGTTCCCAAACACCGCTTGAGGGGAGATCCCAGACAAGGCTTCCTGGACCCACGGGCTGTGCGTATGCCGTTCACGATTCAGGGTTGCATGTGCTGCAAAGACTTCCATCCAGGGTCTACGGTCCTCTTTTGGGGAAACCAATGCCTGGGCTCAGGGTTCCCTCAACTTCCCTTTTTATCTTGAGTGGCGATCCTTTCAATGGAAAGCTCCAGAAAAAGTTGATCAACAATCTAGTGAGCCCTGATCCAAACATGGAGCCTGACAGCTTGCACCGACTCCCAGGTCCTATTGTGTGCAGAGACGCATACAGCGAAGGGCAAAGCGCAGGTGGATAAGAAGGAGATCTGGGCACCTGGGCAGAGCAAGCCGAGCATTGTAAAATGGTGAACATTTCGTTCTCAAAAGGAAATGTTGGTCGCAGGGTTCCTTTGAATCATTTAGAGGGAAGTTTTGAGGATGTCACTTTAGTGGACCCAGCCACATCCTGAAGCGCATGGCAAAATCTACGCCCGTGCAACGGACAATATTTGTCCAGTCGCTTTTTGGCCCTTGCGGTTCTGCAGGTATCGGTTTTGGGAGAGTATTTTCGGGCACTCATATGCTGCTGCGGTATCATTTTGCTCGACAGCTCCCAGCAAAGCTACAGTCCTTTTTGATTGTCCAGGTCATGCTTGTGAAGCTGGTTCCTCCAAAATCAAAACTCTAACTTTTTTGCTGGAACTCTGGAGAGGTGACTTCAAAGGGAGCCAAGCAAGGGAACAAATGTGTATTGTCCAGTTGGACTCGTCTCTTGATAAATCGCTTCAGGACACCGGGAAGAGCCACACCAAGTTGGCAAACTCTTTGGGGTGGTCATAAAGACGCAACCGCATCCTAGCCAGGGTTCTACTACCTGGAGTCTTAAAGGTTGTAGAACGTATGATCAACTACAAAGATCCTTAGACGCGGTGATAGCTTTATAGGAAGATGTTGTAGTACACCTATTAATGATAGAACCAACGGTCCGCTTGGGCGCTGTGAAATGGACGCTCAGTCGGAGGGTAAAATACCGTCAGATTGAGGCCGACTACAAGTCCCGGACACTGATGCAGCTTCACCCGCGAGGCGTCTTGTGGAATTGGGTTCGTCGCATCAAGCGGCCTCAAAAAGGGAAACCGTTTTGAGGTCTAAAGGCTTCCAATGGAGGTGAACCCCCCTTTTAATGCAGGGTTTTGTCCGAGGGGCAAGACACCTTTACCAGGCTTGACTCACCCTTTTGGTTTTTGGCTTGGTGTTGGGCCCTTTTGGCCATTTGGGATTTTTCTGGCTTTTTGACCTTCAAAAAGTGACATCTGTTCGCAAGTGAACCTAAGCCAAGCCAAGGGGCTGAATCTTTCCTGGCACAGGGCCGCTTTGGGGTCATTCGGCTTTGACCGAAACATGTGGTTTCATTCGGGTTGTGAATCTTGCTTCGACATGCTGTTGAACAAGTACCCGGTTTCACGCGGGTCACCTTTGCAAATGACCGGAATGAGGGGCAATTCGGGCAAATACGGCCAGATTTGCAGTTTTGGAGTGGGGGGGGGAACGACAAAACCGCCATACGCTTCGCTCGGTTGCTGATAACCAAGGATTCAAAATGAGTACAAGTGGCCAAAAGAGTACTACAAGGGGCTTGTCCCAAACCAACAATATGATTATCACTATCAAAGTACGCGCAGCAAGGGTTCCGATCGTTTAGGCCCTTGATGGGAGGCCCTGACAATTCACATACATCCCTGCAAACAACTGAAACAAGATCATAGATTCCTCCACAAATTGTGTGGTGTTGTTTTTCTCTTGGGGGGTCCATTGTAGTTGTCAGGAGTAGGTGGGCCAGTAGGGGACATATCCAACCACATAGAGACTTTGCAACCTTGCAGTTCATTGACGGCTGTGGAATGCTTTGCAATTGCCCAGGCATTTCAAGCTCGCTTCTTGCTACCCTTCTCTCCCCTTGTCTTGTTTCGCCTTTATACTTGTTGACCAATAGATACACTTGTTGACCAATAGAAACATCTCACATGTCGGCTACCCTTTAGGGGTTTGCTTAAAAGCAGAAATGGGTGTGGCTCAAAATTCAACAGGAGGGGTTACCCAGGTTTTGGTCCATGTTCCACTTACCAGGGTTCCATTTCGGTACCGGTTTTTGGAGCCACTGCCAAATGTTTTCAGGTTTAGATAGGGTTTAATGACCTTGGTGCTTGGTTTGGGACCGCTTTCGGAGGTGCAAGGAATCCAGCGTGCAAATTGAAACATGTCCACAAACAGTCGCTTGCCCGGGCCGTTGTTTTTTTGGTATTCACGCACAAGAAGCTTTGACAACGGTGGATGATCTCAATAGGTTCTGCCAGCCGGACGCAAGATCGGCTTGCACGCGCCATGTTGTCCGGCGAACTTGGTCTTGGGAAGCCATCCCTCAAGGGTGGGTATGTTTTTTCGGAGCTCCATGGTTAAATCTGCCTGGCGCAAAGTACCTTCAGGATCAGCGGATCTGTGTGTTTGCCCTTGACAAAGCCTGAGTGTTGCTGATCCCCTGGGAAGCTCAAGCAAAGGTATTTCCTCCGGTGGTTGCACTGTAAGCCTTTGGCGTTTTTGTTGACCTGGAGTAGCCACGACACTCATGATGCTGAATTTTGAGTTCTTGGGTGTTCGTTCAAGTTAGTAAGTTGTTGGTAACCTAGGTTGCAACCTCTTGCAAGCCTCTTTAAGTGGGGTTGAAAGTCATTAGTAGGGTGGCTAACCACTTACTAACTTGGCGGAACATCCAAGTATGTGACCCCCTTGGTTGCAGCGTCCGCTCGCTCTCTCACTCGAGGCGACCGCGCAGCACCCTGGCCGCAGCAATGGGCCCTTGATTCTGCGCAACCGGGTGCGTCTTTTCGGAGAACCCCTTGTTTAGCAGCACACTGCGGTCTTTTTAGGGGTCCCCCAACATTTGAGTATTCTGTTGATGAGCGTAGACCCCCCCCCCCCCCAGCAGGTTTAGGAGGAATCCGGTTCTTTCTTTCAGAGGCCTTCATATGCCTTGATAGGAAGCCATGAAACAAGTTTGTTCGGACGGTTTGCAGTAAACTGCAAGCCGAAGCCGGAGGAGATGGCTGTGATTTGCTTCAGCAAAAACAAGAAACCCAACCAAACCGCCCAGTCACGGTCTCTTTTGTCCTGAGGTTGTGAAGCTGCCCAAGCTTAAGGATGATCCCACTCGCGAGCTACGAGGCGTGGGTGCCTATTGGGGGCTGGGCCTGGTTGCCTTCAAAAGGATACCCCAAGGAAGCCAGGAAGCCATGTGTTGCGTCCATGAGACATTCTGCTCAGCTAGGAATTGCTACCGGCAACAATGGCTAGCATCCTTCGACCATCGTTCTTTGAACAAGCCACCTGGACCCTCAACCTATGCCCATAAGACAGTTGGAATTCAGCAGCCAAAATGTTGGGTTGCATTTTTTTAAATAAAAAAATGGGCTCGGTCCTGGCTGTGTTTTTGCATGGACGCTTGTGTGACCTTTCTCAAGCCATGTCAAGTGGGCACTTGGCAACACAGCAGGCTGGGTGCTCTTCTTCTTCGTTCCTCACTTGTTTGCGAAACAACTCACATTTGGAAGCTGAAGAACATGTGTGGGGCGAAGATGGAAAGCATTCTGCTCACGACAAGGTGTTGATCGATCATGGTGTCGCCAATGGGCACCCCGTGTTGTGAGGGACCTTTCTAGACCTGTTAGGATCTAAACACATGAGATTTGCTCGTTCCGGTGACAGGAATGCTGGATGGAGAAACAATTGTCTCCTGTGAGTCACACCAACCTGACGCGATGCTGTCCCTTCGCGCAGCAATGCTGGAACAATCAGGAACCACGGTCTCCACTCTCAGTGAGTCGCTCAGTGGGTGCTCCCTGTTTATTGGTATTTCTTTGTCTGGATTGTTTGTTATAAAGGGACACCCAAAAAGAAAGACACACACACACACACATTTTGCGGGGTTCAATTGCCAAAAGCCCGGTGGCCGACCTGGTTTTCTGCATTGGGTTTCCCTTGAACCTCTGGCAAGTCCTTCTTTCCAGAGCGAGTACTCCCTTATAATACCCTCCCACCAATGAACATGGAAGACAGGGGGGCTGCGGGGCCATCGAAGCGCCATGTTGATTGACCCTTTGGTGCAGCAAGGGCTTCTTCTCAGCAGCTTCCTTTCGGAAACCATGCTGGGCTGGGCCAAAAGCAGAATCCAGTGCTTTCGGACACCTATGTCAAGACACCTTGGGGTCCCCAAGGACATTTTGTAAGTTAACCAGAGTTTAAACCGACCTGGCATTCGTTTGTCCTAGCGCACCTCAGCCAGGGTTGCTAACAATTCCCATGAGGTATTATTTCCCTTAAATACCTCTTCTATGACACACCCATTTTACGATACACCCCCTGTCATGCCTGTTGTACGATCCACCTATGTTAAGACATATTTCAAGACACACCCATAGGGCTGCCGGAAAAATAGAATAAACTAAAGAAAGGTAAAAAGAAGAGGCAACAACACACAACCACCATCAAATAACTCCAGACAAGAAGCAATACATGAAAGAACGCAGAATCAAGCACGATTAGACAAACACAAAGAAGAATAAAGAAGAAGCAAGAACAAAGACTCGTTTTCTGGGAGGGTCTGGGAGGGTACAAGTTCTTGGGTGCAATCCCGTTTCTTGTGTCTGGCAGAGTGTCCATTTGTGGCCAGGGTCCAATCGTCTGGCGCGGCTGGTGTTGGACACCGGCCAGCTCTCCGCAAGGGGCCAGTACTTGCAGGCGGGGAATCGGGAAGGAGATGGGAACGAAGGATATGCCTTTCCATATTGGGTTTGCTGGGGGTTATTTGGGTGGAATGAGAGAGGGGCCCACCGCTTGTTTTGAGGCGCCCACACGTTGCTGTTGATTGGATTTCTAGTGAATGGTTTGTAGAGATGGGCTGATTGTAGAATGGGTGGCGTGGAAGAAGCAGCAGAGAGAAGAATATCTTAAGTCTTATGCAAAGCGCGTCGCAGAAGCGTGAAGGCCGCAAAGAGATCCCAATTGATTGCCCTGGTGTGTGTGTGTCTTAGATGCATACATAATACATTTTCTTGATAGCCGGCTTATCAAGAGAGAGAGAGAGAGAGAGAGACATCTTGTGGATTGTGTTTGTTCATTTCCGGTGCATAGCTTTCCCCAAGTCCTGCGAAGCTCGCCAGGTTTGCACTCAGCAGGGTATCCCGCCTGTGGTGGAGACTCTGACCTCAGGCTCGACAAACCTGAAGTGCTCCCTACGTCCGTTTCACGTCCATGCACCCTTTTTGCAGTCATGGGTTTCTGAGAGAGCATGTGTATCACAGGGATCCAGCTGGATGATCCACAGTTTTTTGAAAGGCCGGGAAGCACTTCCTCAGACATGAATTTGCGCCTAGTCATCCAGTCGTGTTCATTTTGAAGCTAATGCGCATGCCAAGTTGTCACTGCCACAACATATTTGCACCTCAAGACGGGTCGTGCCTATGCCAATGCTTCGACAGCTTTCGATTGCATGCTCGCCCGATTTGGTTGCACTTCCTTTGGCTTCCCTCCCACACCCGTTTTGTTTTCGAGAGTTCGAAGCTACTGCCAGCCTCAGGTGCAAAGTTTCACCGGAGGGGAGAAACTGTTTGCTCGACACGAGATGGGACTAGAGTTGATGGGACTTGCTGAGATGTGGAAGTTGCTAGGGTCAACCAGAAAGCCGAACGATCCATTCAGGCTGATGCGACGACTGCAACTCGCAAACGGTCTGTGTCATGCACGCGAACCCCTTCTGATGAAAAGGACAGAGGTGTTATCGATGTCACTCTAGCGATTATCACCAAGAGCTTGTTGTCAGGCTTTCGCTGATATGCCAGGGCAGACCAGAAGTCTTGAAGCAGTGAATTTGCCGGCCAAACATTCCGCTCGCAGATGCACTTCCCTCCTTGCCTGGTTGCGCCCAAACTGTTGCATGACTTAACTTAAGTGGCCGTCAATGACTGACTTAGCCCAGTAACCCACCGACCGAGAGAGACACTAGGTCACTAGGTGACTCACTTTCTGGCTGACTTAGCCCACCAACGCACCAACCGAGAGGTAAACTGACTGACTTCCCATTCCCATCAACAGGGAACGAGCTTTTGCATGCAGGGCAGTCGAGCCTGAACATGGTGGACCAGAACCTCTCCGACCACGATATGCTGGCGCTTCTTCCGCTGCTGGACGCTGGGTCGGTAGCTGAAGCCATGTTCTTGTCAAAGCAGAAGGAATGAGGCCCTCCGGAAGACCATGTTCCGGTTTACAGTCCTTTTGTTGGGTTCCATTCATTTGGGAGAGCCAGTGCAGGACATCGGAGTGAACTTACTTGCACACATTGGGGACTCCGGCGAGCCTCTCGCACGATGCCCAACTCGCCCTGAACGAATGGTGGGGGATCGCGGAACAGAGGCATCCCACAACGCTTGTTGGCGCTTTTTGCAGTGCGACCAGAGTTTGGTTGCAGACTTGCATACTGTCCATCTTGCTCTAGTGTGCCATTTGAACATGCGCACAGGACCACGTGCTTTGAATATCGGCGATGGGTTGTTGCAGAGTTGAATCAGCGAGTGTGCTGCAAATGCGTAAGACTCTAAGACAGATGGGTTCGTTCATGTATGCGTTGCTTGTGGCCAGACCTGTGCAGGAGGCATACTCGCCACGACGCTGGGTGGTGCGCAATAGCATTCAGTGTCATGCTATGCCATTACATGGCCCAACATGTCATAGCTGGACATGGCATAGAATTATCATAGCATGGCGTAGCGCGGCGCTCGGAGGGTGTCTATTCCCAGAAAACCACCACACCCTGGAAACGCTGGCTATGGAATCGTAATAAGCATAAAACATGGAGTTGTGCGACCCCTGGTTTGTCGCAAGGAATCCAGCAGATGAATACCAGAGGGTGTAACCATCTCACCACCAAAATATTCAAAACCAAATCGCCATGAAGTGGAGCCGAGGGCCGGGGTCCAATAGAGCCATGGCTTTTCGGAAGTGCTCCACTCTTGTCAGTGGTCAGTGGGTTTCTACCCTGTCAGCTAAGATGGAGCCCACCAGAGAAATTACCCCCTTCGGAGGGACCTTTATGAGGGCAAGTGCAGGAGATGGGGAATATAACCCTTTTGGTATAAGGGAGCCATCCATTTTAGCATTTGCAGGGAACGGGGAAGCATTTCCAGCGGAGAGGGGCCCCGCATTTTGCTAACCTGAACCCTGGCCATGGGTCCAGTGGCAAACATTGGACGCCAATTCGAGGAGACTGGCACGCTGAACTCGGTGGACTTCTCCTGCAACCCGCGTCTGACGGCAGCTGGGGCGCACTGAAGACATGGGGATTTCTCAAAATGGCGGACCCGTTGTTCGATGGCTTTGAAAAGAGGACGAAAGGAACCAGCTCATTTGGGGGGTTCCCCTATATTGAGAAACACCCATTATAGATGCATATATGTATGTAGGAATGTCCGTACAAACGTTGCACACGAACTTCTAAAGCATATTTGTGTATGTATATATATATATGGCTTGTGACAAACATGTATTCTGAAATCCAGGTTGCAATTGTGAGCAGATACATACAGGCATGTTTGGAGCGATGTCCCTTGTGTTCCCTTTGGGGCGGCCCCTTGCTATCCCATCTACTTGTTTGCCAAACCGTGCTGACTCGGACGAGCACTGACGTTGGCAGACTTTTGGTAGACCTTGACCACGTGTCCTCGTTGTTCCAACGTTGTCTATAGACGTATCTAGTGAGGGATGGGCTTGTCTCAGATGGCACTTGGAGCCTCAAAATAGGCGTTTTCTGTTTGTGTCCATTTCACGACCGAGCAACGTAGGCTTGAGCATTTTGCATGTCTTAGCTGTGACTTGGTGCTAGGCCCTTGCTGTGACTGATTCTATAGAGGAAATCCTTGGTATTTGCTGGAGCCTTCTGAATGCCCTTGACCTGCCACTTGGTGCTTGCCCTCCTTCCAAAGAAAAGTCAGCAGGCTCCCCCAAAAGCAAGCTCGCCCCAGACCCAATTGGTCAGTTTCCAATGGAGGGAGGCTTATGCCTGGCTCTGGGCTTGTATCGCCCAGGACCGAGGCTTGGTGCCGCTGCCGGAGCCTGAGGTTTCAGAACCCCTTTGGCTTATGGCCCAAGCGAAAATCCGAAAAGAAAACACCACACCAAACTTCTCATTTTCTGCAGAACCCGAAAAGTTGTTTGTTGTCTCACTCCAATAGACGAGTTGTTGTCCTCTCACTCCAATAGCAAACAAATGCTAGACTCGGCACACCAAGACTCCCCCCCCCCCCCCCCCCCCCCCCGCCTCCGCCGGCCTCCGCTGGTCGCGAGGCTGCGGGCGCTGCCGGCCACGCTGCGGCGCCTGGCGCTGCGCAGCAGCGCGCTGGGGCCCAACGGCACCGCGCTGCTGGCGGAGCTGCCGCTTGAGCGGTGAGCGGAGAGCGGAGAGGTGCTGAGCGGAGGTGAGCGGGGCGAGCGGAGGGGCGGGCGGGGCGTGTGAGGTATCCTGAAAATATGGTTGTGGGTCAAAACCGATCATTTTAGTCTTTTTTAGTGGGGATTGGGATGTTCACTGGGGGTACGGGATTTTAACCCATGGCCGTATGTTTGAACCATTTTGGAACCTTGTTGCACCCCACCCCCCCAATTTTAGACCCATGTGTGTAACTATTGCAGGTATCCTCAAATAGACAGCAGCTTAAGTAGACCAACTTTAGGATTCCATTATCAGGTTACCCTTAGTTGGAGGATGAGATTTGAGCCGCTGGTTCTTGCAGAGGGTCCACACGAAACCATCCCCTAGCCTCCAATTATAGGACCATTACAAATTCGAGGGAAGCTGGTTAACTTTAGAAGCCCAGGGGATCCTTGCCCAAGGTCCTTTAGGTCTATGAAGAGTTTTCCAGGGGAGTTGGGCAAGTAGAGGAGGTGCAAGGGCAACGAAGAGGTACTGTTCAAGTTCACTTGGAGCCGTAAACAAGGATCGGCCCCTCTCATGCCATGATTGAGTTAGACGTCCCTGAACAAGTGTTTTGCACAGACTATAGGCGGCCCGTTCGATCAAGCACCATGACTTCGGCATAAATTTCAACGATGGTTTTCAGGATGACCCGGGTGAAAGCTTAAATTTCTCCATGGACGTAATCCCCTTAGGCCTAGTGGGTTGCCCCTTATGCCTGGTGACAGCCAGGGTCACTGAGCTTTCCGGACTGAGGCTCGTAAGCCGGGTGGGCTTCAGCAAGCTCCTTCTGCTGGACCTCAGTGAGGTGAGGGGGCCAGGTTTGGAGAGCGGACCCTGTTGTCATCCATTCTCAGTGTTTTTTTTAAACGGTGGTTTTTCACATCACCTGGTCACCTGGTTGCTGGTTGAAGGTGAGTTTCCTTCCAACCTTTGATTTCAGGAAATGCCTAGGTGGTTTGGATTGGGGATTTGTGTGGAGGGAAAGCGGCACACCGCCTCTCAACACCTCCAAACCATCAATCCACTCCGTCAAGTAGACGAACGGTGTTTTTTGGTTGGATGACTAGCCTTTAGCTTTGGTAGGTCGTATGGTTCTCACCAGCCTGTTAAAGTAACTGTTTGTGCAGCCGGCAGTGACCTCAAGCAACACATGTTGCTACGCCAGGTGCCGTTGCAGCGGAAAGGCTTCCAGCTGTTGGCGCAGTCCATTGCAGCGCACCGGAACCTGCCGTTCGGACCGAACATGTGACGCAGTCGAGGGGTTTGGTTCAAGGACACGGATTTTGGGATCCCCGTGTTCGGCTTGGCTATAAGAAAAACCCGAGCAATTTCCATTTACCTCTTCCGACAATTTTGGAATCTCGTGTTTGGCCGGTCACCCCGGGAATCCCAGTGATCCCAGTGATCCCAGTGATCCCAGTGATCCCAGTTACTTGTACACAGCAGCTCACAAGCATCCGTGTTCTGTGGGTTGGCAGGGTTCCGTTGCTTTCCGGTTAGTACAGGTATATGAAATCACGGAGGATGAGCGCCGACTGTCCCAAGTCCACTTACCTGGAAAAAGGCAAGGGGCAAGCCACAGGTCGGCCACCATCTAAAACCTGGAATGGCGAAGGGTTGCCAAAACCTATACCGGTAACTGGAATTGGTACAAGGGGTACGATGCAGGTCGGGAACAAAGCCCTGTAATTCTTTGATTCACCATGGCTGTGGCTGCTTTGCAGCAGAATTGACAACTTTTACCAATTGTTTTTCCGCGGTGTCGTAAAGTTAAGGCTACAATAAGAGGCCTACCAAGCAAGGTACGGCGGATGCCGCAAAGGGAACAGGGAACCTGTAGTTTACGACGGTTTACCATGGTTCTGTGGTTTCTGGTATGTTGGTTACTTGCAATACGGCAGCACCATCCACCTGCCTGAAGGTCAGCCAGAACAAAGGCTCCATCATTGGCCCTTTTGGTGGCTGATACCAATCAACTCATCCACATGTCGACCGCTTGAAGCTCATTCTTCGGGACAGCCCTGGAACGAATCTCCAGGACAACATCGGTACTCCTGCGGACCAAGATAGTTGCAGGTTTGTTGGCCGCTTTTGTGATCTTTCTCGTGTGATTCAAGGTGCATTTATCGCTGGTTTTCCCTGGGCTCGCACTTCAACAGTCCCCCCCGCTTTGCAAAACCAGCCTGGCGATTCGTGTCCGCGCCGTGTCTGAGGCAAGAGCTCAACTTGTCCAGCACAGGCTCAGAAGTCGGATCGAAGTGCTGAGCCTCGAAGCCAATGCCACATAGCTGTGACTCTGGTCCGCATCATTTAAGTGCACTTCTGAGCTGGTTCCCTAGAAGAATGTGTTTCTGTTGTTTGAAAGGCAGTCAACCGGCATTCGTTGGCCCAAAGGGCTATGGCTACGAGTGACGGGGAAGTCCCGAGCCGCAGACTTAAGCCAACTGGCGCTCCTTTGGTTCCCAGCAGTTTTGTGCCACACAGTTCTCCTTGAGAGTTATGTTGTGGGCATTTACATAGATGAGGAACGCAGAGTCAATTCCAGACGTTTCTCTTTGTTTGTGCGGTGAGTTGCAGCCACAGATGAATGCATTACTTGCCTGTCCGTGCAGTGCTTCTTGTGCTATGCGTTGACAACACGTCCAGTGGTTGTTTGGCTTGGCATCTTGCAATATGCACTCTGACGCAAAGGCATGCTCAGGCCCACGTGGAATGGTGGTCTTTACTTGCCACTTGCTTCAGCTACAAGCTTTGTCTCAAGGGGCGTTGCCCTTTCCGGGTATGTCTGAACAAAAAGGCCTCCTTTGTCCACATTGATGGTGGCCAAGCTTGCTTTCTGAAGAGACCCAGATATCGACAGCCGAATACCTTCTCTTGCAGTCGAATGCGCTAAAGACTTAAATCTTCGGGAACCTCTTGCGTTGTTGCGGTTGTCTTAAAGGAAACACACCCCGGAAGCGTGCATGTTTGTTTTATTTATTTTTTTGCTTTTTTGGGGGGGAGCGGGAAGGAGGTCCCTGATTTGCAGACAAAGAAACCCAAATGCTGGATATGCTGCTTAGTTGTGTGCTTAGGGGAGCTAGTTGATTCTGGGGCCGCAGAATGCTTTTTGCGGCCAGGGTTGCACATTTAAACAAGACCTGGGCCCAATCCGTTTTAAAAGAACACCCTCCCAAAGACATTCGTAAGCAATCATGGCTTCAACATGTGGGTGCGCGTTCCCTAAACAGCAAACACAAGATGGGTCCTGGCTTTCGGCATCAAGCTTTTCTCCCCTTAACCCCTCACAGGAAAATCGATGTGGGGGTCCTGGACTGCTCTGAGCAATGACCGAACCACCCAAAGGGACAGCCCAAGGAAGCCCGAACATCATTTTGGAGGGTCCAACTAAAAAAAACACCCATATTGATCTCGCTCTCAGATCAGGGGACATTTGCCAAGTGGTGTCAGGCCTTTCGCCCTATGCCAGCGACGCGAGGCGACGGATGAATCAGCCTGGTGGGGAAACACCAGCTATTAGTTTGGTTGGTTTCAAGCCAGACCAAAGGAACATTATATTTCGTGGGGTTTAACCTTAACAAAGACACGCCCATATTATTTATGGCAACCGGGGCTTATTGATGCTAGATTCCGGCTGATTTCGAGCCTTTGCCTCTGACCTTGTGGGTTTCATGCTGGAGTAGGTGGGAGGGTTAGCCTAAGACTAGGTCAACACAAGGCTTTGAAAGAGCCATTAGCCACTCCAAAATCCATTGTTCTTGTGTGGTGCTCCTGTTAACGCAATTAAGAAGTGCATTTGGATGCCACTTTTACCTGCCCTGTACCGTTGATTCCCAGTTGTTGCAAGTAGGGAACCAGGTTGGCATTTTTTGCCCTGGTTTCTGGCTGGTTTGCTTGCTATAGTCCTACCACTACCCCCCCCAGAAATGGCCATAGGATCGTGGGAACAGCTCCATGGATCCCAGCAATTGGGATGAGTCTTCCATGCAGATGGAGCGAGCCCAGCTCCGTGACGCTTGTGGTTTGTGCACCGGCCGAAACCAGATGCCATGGGCGGAAGCTCCACTTCCCCAAGGTTTGAGCTTTGACCCAGGGGCCAATTGGGTGAGTATTGGGTGTCCTTTTGGCGAATATGTGGATTAGCCTTTGTGAGGGAAACCGGTTTGAGGTTGTTTTAAAGCAACACCCATATTGGAGCTCACAGTTGAGAATCAACATGTCAAGATGCTTTGGCATCGTGCCTGGCCCCCGTTCGCAGGCAATGCATTGGTGCCTTGGCAGCAACCAGGGATTGATATTTTTGAGGAAGCACGGCATTTTGCCTAGGGTCGCGTGCTGGGTGTGCAAACAAATCTTTCATGGATTCCCGAACATTGCAAGCACGAAGCAATGCAATGGGGTGTTCCTGGTTCCCGTGCAGCAAATTGGAACAGGATAGCTAGGGGCGATCAATTCGGTGCTTCAGGTAAGTAGGCAACCATGGGCAAACAATCCACCAAAGCCATGGGTTGATTTCCGCATACTTTTGCTCGACTTGCCCTTAGGGCCTTGCTTCTCATTTGTTTGTGTTTTGGCTTTTTGGTGCGTGGCTTGTTGGAGCGATCTTCGCAGGATTCCTTTCCAAAAGCAAGTAGCCTTCAGGAGGTGCCCTCCAAGCAGTGTGTGGGAGTTTAAGGCCAACCTGCTTATTGGCGAATAACACAAGTCGGTTATTGAACTGGCTATTATTTTGAATGGAAATGCCACCAAAAGGGATTGGCCACACAAGTGCAACGATACTTCCAATGTCCGACAAGTCCAACCAAAAACACCACATTGAGCAACATGCCTGCTGATAACACCAATCCGGCCATCGCTTTTATCAGACCACATATGCCAAACATGTATATGCTGCCAGCTTTCGCCATCAGCTCAGACGGGGCCTTTCCCACTCAACTCCAAGCCAATGGACCGGTTGATGTTTGGTTTAATGGACTTGTGATGATGGCAAGGAGTGGGAACATGCCGGTGACAAGTTCGTCGGAGCGGTGTTCGGACGATGCTTTGAGCATGTTTGTTCCGCAAGGTACGGCCCACAGGCAAGGATAGATGAATGGCTTGCCGCATGTTTAAGTCTAGCAGATACAATACATACCATACAGATGAACAGGCTGCTAATTTGCAGAGAAAGCTGCGCGCCAATGGCGAACGCTTTCAGTTTCTCCGCGGTGTTTGGCGAGCAGCACGCAGCAGTGCCCCAGCAGATCTTGAGCTTGGTTGGGCGCCAGTGCCGTCTCCAACCGTGCCATTTGCTTCAAGGGCAGTCGAATCCAAGTGGCCGCGTCCCTTGGGCTTCAAGTACAAATAGCCGGACAAAAGCGGAAACATGTTTTTCCCAGCAACCTTTGGTAGTCTGGTTGGAAGAGGATGTACCCCACCCCCTTCTGATAGCTTGGGCGCTTTTTGTTCGAACGTCACCAAGGGATGTTTATCATTGACCGGTGCACAGGTTTAGAAAGAACTTGAAGCAGGTATTGCTGGATCAAAGTTGGCATCATGATCATTTTGCAGGCTGAATTGAATACAGATACCTGGAGGAGCTGGTTATTGTGGGAGAGTCCGAGATCATTTCAACGCCTCTTCCACAGCCTCTTGAGTGGAAGCGCTTTGACTGGGACGGTGGAAAGGTTTGGCGCTTGATCGACTTGAGCTCATCAACACTCAAGCGTGTCGTTTTTAAGTCAACCGTCTTATCCGAGCCGGACCTGGACGAAGTTCCGGATGACGAAGTCAATGCCGAGCGTTTTGACGTCTACTTCCACCACCTCTATCGATGCACGAGCCTTGAGACCCTGGAGATTCAGAGCGCTCCCCACCAGACCGCTTTCCTCTGAACTCCTTTGTTCGAGGAGTCTTTGGACGGCTTCGGCATTTGGATTTGTCTGATGGCGACTATATGACTATATGATACGCTTTGACCGTCAAGAGTTTGGACATGACGTAACACGTGCGTTGGGACAGGCTTGCAAGACACAGAAGTCAATCAAAGCAAGGATTCCCCGAAGTGGCAGACATTGATAAGCGAGCAAGCTGGAATATGGTAGGTGTCAAAATTCTTGGAAGAATCAAGAACCTGTCACACTGACAGAGATGTAGAATGAACCAGTGGCACGCGGATTTGTCTCGAAAGACCGAACTGCCGAACTGCGCGAGAAACGGTGAACACACTAATATGATAACATGGTCCGCTCACAAACACATCATCATAAGAAAAAGCAGTTTTTTGCGATGGGGGATGCCACAAAATCCTGAACGAGATCCAGGGGAAAGGCCGAACCCCCCCTCCAAGCCGCATTGAGGAGGGAAAGAGAAGAGGGGGGGAGGTGTTTGGACTGAGAGGCAGGGCACCTGGAGACGCTCTTCTTGTGCTGGCACCCGTGGCGCCACGATGCGGGACGAGACAATCTCGCCTTTCTCCAGGCGCGTCTCAAAATCTCGGGCTCCGATACTTACAGCCTTGAAGGCCACGAAGCCGAATGCAGAAATTCGCAAGCCCAAAAACCAATCCCAAAGACATCCCCAACAACATGACTACAAAGACACCCTGATTAGAAGCAATCCACAAAAAACAGTCCTCAACACATGTCCAAAAGCATCGCCGAAGATATCCTCATGAACAAAGCATTCCCAAAGACATGCCCAAAAGCATATCCGAAGACATCCCCAAGACGTTTCTAGAAATCAGCGGAAGACGTCCCCAAAGATGTGTCCAAAGAGACAATTCTCCAAAATCCCCGCCCCCCGGCCCAACAAAAAAGCAAGCCACCCTGAAAGACACAACGCAACGACGTCCTCTAAAGACAATAGCCGACTTTCCGAGACACTCCCCGGGACATCTTCCGAGACATGCCCCGAAGATACCGCCAATGACAGACCTCAAGCGAGGACCCTGAGATGCCACCAACAACATCCTCATCGACTATTCTCAAGGACATCCACGAACACAACCACAAAGACATCCCCCAAATGCATCACCAACCCACAAGCTCAAAGACACCCCCCCAAAGAGATCCCAGAGACCTTCCAAAGGCACACAAGACACCCTCGGAAGACATTGAAGACATTCAACACATCCCACGCCACCCCACCCACCCCACCCCGCTCACCCCTCCCCAAGAAATCCCCAAAGTCATCTCCAAAGACATTACCTAAACCCAAGACAACCACACGGACATTCCCAAAGACACACCCCTAACCCCAAAACATTCCCCCCCCAAAGACATCGCCTAAGAGAACCGCAAAACATTCTCAAAGACATCCTCCCTCAAGACATTGCCCAAGACAACCGCAAAGCCAACCCCAAAGACACCCTCCAGAGACATCGCCAAAGTCATCTCTGATTTGCGTCGCCCAAGGCAACCGCAAATGAGTCTCCAAAGACATCTCAGAAATTGGACATCCCCAAACAGGTCCCCCAAAGACATCCGCCCAAGACACCATCGGCAGACATCCCCGAAGACATCGCCCAAGACATCCGCCCAAGAACACCCCCGAAGACATTCCCGAAGGCATCAGCCAAGACAGAGGCAAAGACATCCCCAAAGACACCCCGAAAGACATCACTCCAGACAACCGCGACAAAGACAGTTTTTGGAAGACGCCCCGCAGTCTTTTCTGGAGTCTGATTTGGTACGGTTCATCTCTTTCTCTCCCTTTCTCACCTCTTAATCACATTTTAGATACAGAGGTGAAAGGGAGGTGATAAGAAAAATAGCTTCAGGATCCATTCCTTCGTGTCATCAAGATTCTTCATTCTAATTCTCTTTATTCATGCTATTCCTTCTCCAAATTATTAAAATATGAAAATAGAATGGAGAAGGAATATGAGATAGAAAGGTAAGTCACGGAGAAGCCAATTAAAGGATTTCTTATCAGGCTTCTCGTCTTTTCCCTTTATCTACTTCCCTTGGCTTTACGGTTGGCCAAATAGCTGTCTATTGGGTAATCTCTAGAACAGACTGTAGGTGAGAGAGTTCCTTGGTCCCTTCTCCCTTCTACAGTTTAATAGACGAGCCCGTGAACGAAGAGACAAGGGAGAGTGAACTGGTTGGTGGGATAGATGGGTCTCTGAGCTCTCCCATCTTCATCCCATCACTTTCCTTTTACTGCGTTTAATATTAGTTCCTGAAAAGACTGCCAACAGAGAAATCCTCGCTTATCAACTTTCACCCAACCATCATTCCATTCCCGAACGAAGAGAGCCCCCCCCCCCCCGAGACATCCCCGAATTCATTCCCCAGTCCAAGATAACCGGAGCAACATCTCCAAGCACACCCGACACTTCCAAAGACATACGCTGACAACGAGCTTATGAGAGACCATTCGGATCTGCGCCCCCGCTTTGCCCACGTATGCATGCCGCCTTGGCAGCTTCGGGCAAAGTGCCCAAGCTTGGAACGCTTTGTCTTGCTGGGAGAAGCCGAGTATGCACCTGTTCAAATCTCCACCCAGGAGCTTGGTCACATTGAAGTCTCGCGCGTGATCGGCGAACCCAAGCAACTCCTTGGCCGTATACTGCAGACACTGCGAAGGATCTTCTTTGTGGCGGGCAGTTCCAGAAGTTTGACGCAGCCTCGCATTGATGACATTCCGCTGGAAAGGACACTGGATTCTCTTCATGAGGCGCCGCATTGCTGCAAGCCTGAGAATGCCCTCACGCTGGCTGAATTTGTTCAGTCTGTCCGCCGAAGAGTTGCGGATATTGAGATCCCACACTATTAGGCAGTCTTGGCCGCGGATTTGCCCCTCACAAGCTTGAACATGGGGCAACGTGCGACCTCGCTATGTTGAGGTGTGAAAAGCGGCGTCTGTTCCACGGTTGTTGCTGCAGCCACAATTGTTTGGTTTGTTCGTGTACTTTGGGCGAGCTGCTGGTTGTCCTGTTTACAACGCCCTTTCAAAAAGGAAGGGGTTGCCCTCCAGCCGTCGATTCTGATTAGAACATCCCTCTGTACTTGGCAACCTCTTCGCTAGAGGCTGGGGCGAGCGATTCGGTACGTTGGGAACCATAGGGCTTCCCCACAAAAGGCATGTTTGCAAGTCCCCACCCTGCGGGTTACCAGGTGAATCTCACCACTGACCTGTACCGACTCAACCACCCTTGGTGCAAAAAATGCCCTTCAACTTGCATAGGTACCTTTAATTTCTTTTTGGGTTTGAACTTGGGCGGAGGACGCGAAACCGACACCGTTGTCTCAGTTCGGCCTCGTTTCGACTCGTTTCGCTTAGGATGGCTGATGCAGTGCCCGCAGCTTCTGAAGTTGGATCTCTCTTGGAACTCCTTGGACGCGCCCCTCGGCCGAAGCTCCCGAAGCGTTCCGAACAGCTGAAAGCTATCGATAGGCCCAAATGGGTTGCGGGGGTGTGGAGTGACCCAGCTTTGTTTCTCTTTCTTTGCGGGGGGGGTCGGTTCTTTCTCTGCAGGTGATTTGTGTTTTTGGCTTTGCTGTTTGCAGGGGGAGAGGGCCCGTGTTCGGTGTGGTTTATTGTTGTTTTCTATGTTGGGGAGGGAAGTGTTGGCACGTAGGCGGGTGCGAGTTGTTGGGAGCTTGTTGGGCCAGTTATTTCAGTTTGAAAATGTCAGCAGCCGATGTACATCCATGTACGTGCTCCATTGAGATGCTTACACTTTGGCACACTTGAGTGCAATCATTTGCAATAGTATTATGTTTGTTTTCGCAGATTTGCAGGCTCCTTTCTGACTTGAAGACGCCACGAGTCAACATATATCATGCCCATACACAGCTTGACCGAACCGCTTATATAGAGTCAACGTTCGTTCGCTACAGACCCTAATACTGGTGGAATGCAGGTTCGTGAAGCCAATCCAGACGAACCCAAAGCATTCCAGAGCAATCCAGACCACCATAGTGTGGTTTCTCTTTGGGCGGACCTGAACTTTAATGTACCTTTTCAGAGCTGCTTATGTCCCCAGTATGCTCGTGGTGGGGGAGTCTTGAAGCCACCCGGAAAAGGGCTACGCTTTGTTCTGCTTCCAATCCACTCGATCCAACTCCAAATCGCTGCAAAGGAGTCAGACCACTCCAAATCACTTCAAGCGCCGCAAACTTAGACAGGCGGGTGGTCAACAGATTTGAGATTGGACATAAGAACCATAACAGGCAACCATCAACAGGTCACCCCCCACCTTCACCCTTTCTTACCATTTTTTGGGGGGGACGCCACGGATCTTCGGAAGGCCCGCGCTGCTTCAGTTGGGCCACTGCCTCTCCACGCGCCGCGCACTTCAGAAGCTGAGCCTCGCTGGCTGCGGCGCTCACAGGCCGCCCTGATCGAACTCGGATCTGATGGGGTTTGGTGGGTTTGTCTCGCTGGGGTCACAGATAGATAGACGGACACATATTTAGACAAATGTGTAGAAATATATATATATAGATATGTATAATATATATATATATATACATACACATACACATATTCGTGCAAATCAATACAGCAACACCCGGGTTGCCTATTATTTTTAACAATATTGTGGCCAAGAAGCTGTGCGCGCAGGCCGCACGGCTTGCGGCTTTGGGAGCGGACCCGCGCGGTCCGCCTGCAATTGCAAAGGCGAAGCCAAGATAAGACGGTCGCTCGTGGATCCCGAAGATTTCAATTCAGCCTCTGTGAGTGTGACAACCATTTCCAGCAACGCCTGCTTCCTTTGCTGCAGGGCTCCGAGCGAAAAGCTCGGGCAGCCACTGCGACGGGGTTTGTAAGGGGGACGCCCTAGTATATATGCGTATATACATGTGTGTTTGTGTGTGGTTTTGGAGGGTATGTTTGGGGTGGTTTAAAGGGACCCCAAAAGCAAAACACCATTTTGGGGGTTCCCCAATTTGTGGAACCGCGTGGACATCAAGGATAGGAGGTCCACCACCCACTCGACTAATTTCCTTTAGAACCATTGCTAACAGTGGGTTTAAAGCGCCCCACAGCCCCGTTCCAATCATTTAGCCCTTTACATTACTCGGGGTAAAGCGAAACCCACTCATTTTTTTTTTTGGGGGGGGGTCGTTTTTTGAAATAACGACACACATGCAAATGTGGGCTTGAAGTGCGTTTCCTTGGAAACCATGCAATTGTTACAGGTTTTTGTTGCAAGCACATTGGTTTTGGCAATTTGTTTTTGGGGGGAAGCTTTGGGTTGGTTTGCAAGGAAAGCAAGAAGGAAACCAACCCTTTTAGGGGGTCCTAATTTTCGGACAAACCAAAATAGGGAACCCGCCAACAACCGAAATGTAAAGGCAGAGCAGCCAAGGAACATCCCTTGCGGATTCCTGCATTCTGTGCGTTGAATAGATGTTTTTGCTGTGAACTAAAGTCGGGCTTGGGGACTTGAACCCCCAGTTCTCTGGCAGCCCTGTTGGATTTCCACAAAAGCGTATTAGGTCAATCCCGCTTTTCCCTCAATGTAGCCCCAAACGGCGAAATTTGCATGTTTTGGGCCTGTTCCCGTCAGTGTGGCCGTGGGTGGTTGGAAGGCAGGTCGGAGATGGTTGGAAGGTGGTCGGAAGTTGGTCGGAGGTGGTCGGAAGGTGGTCGGGAGAGGTGGTCGAGAGATGGTCGGAGGTGGTCGGGAGGTGGTCGGGAGGTGGTCGGAAGGTGGTCGGAGGTGGTCGGAAATTGGTCGGCGGTGGTCGTTTGGAGGTTGCAACCTGGTTCTAAAAGTGTGGTGCTGTTCGAGCTTGCGGTAGACTAGCGCGTTTATCCAACAGGCAGCCCCACTTAACCAGCAAACCAAACCACCAGGTTGAGGTACTCTGAAATTTGCAATGCAGCTCCCTCCCAGTGATTCCATCTCCCTGCGCAGTACTGGTAGGTAACCACGGGGACCAGCCTTGTAAAACCAAAGTTGCTGGTGACCAGCGGCAACTTGGATCCACTGGGTAACTTGCAAGACCAATACATCCAGCAGCTTTTTGGAGGCGAAGCTCGAGCCCTGGGGTTCAGCCCTATGGTGGACCCAATTCATTTGATATGAACATCCATCGGTCCATAGTCGTCCTGAACCCTCCAAGTTGCCTCAAAAATGGGTAACATACAGCCCCAGGGTGAATTTCCGTTTTTACGGGTAGTTCGAGGTCCAGGTGGTTGTATGAGGGTCCAGGTGGTTGTATTTTCCCAACCTCTGCTTAATGCGAATGAAAGAAACCATCCAGGCCTTGGGTTTGTCCATCAAGTCTCCAGGGTCCGGCGTGACGCGGAGCTGCCCATGGAGGGCTTCCTGGTGCCTCGGCCTTACCCGCAAGGAAAAAACCCGACACGGTACCCAGTGGAGCACCCTGGTCCGCTTGTGACCTCTGGCGAACACCGCCGGGGGGTTGTATCGGTTGTATAGACTTTGAGGAGGTCGGTACCCAGTGGATCCCAGCGATTAGTTCGATTGGTTGTTGAAGGGTGGGAAAGCTCTTGGTTACCTGCTATACAGGAAAATGGAATGACTGGGTTAGGTTTTTCTTGACCCAGAAGACACCCTTGAAATGTTGAACTTGCATAATTAGTCGAGGCGAAAGGAATGTAAAGTTGGCCAAGGACAAACAACCCTTCGAAGCAAAAAGCGAAAGCACTCGGCAAGGATGGCAAAGGACGTTGTTGTTTGGGGGCCCCTTTGTTCGGTTCCATATTCATCTGCTTGTCGAGCCGGGCCTTCAGGGGCCCCCAAAACACATGGAGCGTCTGTGAGGATGTCCGGTCTTCCCCTGAACCACTGTTTGCGGGTCGTTCAAGTGCCCAGCTTGGGGTCGAACACCTCTCAAGCCGCAAAGATTTGAAAATGCCCATTGCACATTCGAAGGAACCTTGGTGTGTGCAACCCGGAAGCACTTCGGCTTGGCTTTCTGATTCTGAACAAGCAAGATACAAAGTAAACAACATGGACATGATTTCCTTCTTTGTGCAATGACTTCGTTCGCACGGCTTCGAGATTTGTTGGTTTCCCAGCGTTCATGATCTTGCATGCAGGCATGAATTGCATTATTGCACAGTTATATGCATTGAATCGTGAGAGCACCGGGTCATGGTTTTGGGATATCTTATTTGCTGTTCTAAATTCCGGGCGGAACGCAACAAGCTCATGTCTCTCCTTCATTCCTGTAACAGATCGCAAAGATGTCTTCGGGTAAGCGTGCGCTCTCTGGGAAAATGACACGAGGATCGGCTCGACCTTAGTGTTGCCTTTGTTAAGCCTTATCTAATTTGGACGGTTTGAGTTAAAGAAAGGCAAAGCCTTGCTGCACTCCATTTGTTTTAGTGCGTTGCTTTTTGGCCTTATTCATTGTGGTGGGTTGCAAGGAACATTTAGTTGTTTTACTGACATACCAGCTGAGAAACTATTGCTGACGGAGTCATGAACTGGGGAGGGGGCTCTGGCGATCACCCATCACACAGAGGCTACCCCAGGCTTGTTCAACCAACCGCTGCCAAACCACTCTTTTTGCGATTCAAAGCCATCCATTTCGATTAGGTAAAGTATCACACCACACCTGATTTTTCAAATCACCCTTAAATTCCGTTGCCCTGACATTATGGTTGTCCAGTTCCCCCTTTTTCCCGGGTAGTTCGATGGTCCCAGTACTCTTTAGAGGCTTCACATCCATCCCTCCCAAGGAGCTCTTGGCGAAGAACAGCACGCTGAAGGACGAGAGCGGGTGGTTCGACCCGTTGATTCGCCGTTTTTTGGGAGGGAACCCCGCTTTATCCTTCTCAAAAAAGGAAACCTACTCCCAGAAAGGGCACCAACTCCAACAAAATATATTGAGCGGGCACCCGCTTTGTCCTCCGAAGTCTTTGGGAAGCTCCAAAACAGTTGAAAGGGAGTGCCAAAATAAAGCGTGCGTGTTTTGTTTTTTTTTCCTCATGGAAACCAACCGGGAGGAGCTCGACCTGTCGCTGAACCACATGGACCACCGCGCCGCGTTGATCCTTGAAGACGCGCTGGACCGAGCCTTTAGACGGTTCGGGTCGATGACCCCTACTCCAAATGTTAGTATGTTTCGGAAAACCCGTGTTTCACAACATGATTATCGCTCCGTTTGTAGTCAGAGGTTGTCATCATACCCTAAAACCTGTGGTGGATATTTGGAGTGGGGGGTTGAATTGGTTAGCTTTGGGGGTCCCAACCCAGAGTCCCCCTCCGGCCGCCGCCTTTTTGCTGGGTGTTGGAGACGATCGAAACCTGGAATTGGGACCCGCTACAAGGGGCCGGCCCCGCTGGCAGTTTCCGAACAAATCCTTGTAATAGCCCAAATAGGGTTTATAGTTTTGACCCATAGCCAAAAGTGGGTAGACAGAATACTTCGCAAGACATGAAGTGACACATATATATATATATATACACCAGTATATGATTCTTTATGCATTTTTCGAATCCAGGGCCATTCTTGCCTATTCAAGAAGGGGCAAGGCTGTCCCTGAAGGGATCGCCCTAAACATGAACAAAGCAGGAGTTGATTCAGTCGCAGCTGGCTAGAAGTTTTAAGAGTCGGACACCCTCAAAAGTGGTTGGGGGGGAATCCAGAGGGTCCCAATTAAAGTTCATGCCTAGCTTCTTTTCGTTTGCTTAGTTCATGACCATGAAGCAGGGAGGTCTCACGCAGACCTGTTTCATGTTCCACATGTACACATCCTACATGGAGCTGTTGCTCCAAAGGGGTGAACTTTTGACCTTTCCAAGTTAAGATGTCGTGCTTGCCAAATGTCGTGCAGACGGTTTGCCAAATAATCTTCTGGAATTTTGGTGTTTGCCAGTGTTTATTCAACACAGCCGTCAATTTTGCGCTGATTTCTTTGTCATGCGAAGGACGTCCCAAGGTTTTCCTGTTGCTTTCCTCATCGATCCTTGGAGTCAGCGCTGCGGTTGGGCACTCTTTACTTCCATTTGCTTCCACTCAGACCTGTTGGTTTCTTGTCAACCGCGAGCACCTTTTGCCGTGTGCCCACCCGCCATTTCCATCCGTTTCACACTTCAACGCCCTCCCTGAAAAAATTCGCCTTTTGGGCTGAACGTGTCCTCCCCTTCGCCCGGCAGGAACACACGGAGCTTAGGGCCTTGACGCTGAACGACAACCCCTTGGGCCCGGCGGGGCTCCGCTCCGTGCTGCGCCTGCTCTGCGGCAAGGCCTCGGGTCGAAGCGGCCGAGGGGCCGCGCTGAAAACAAAACCCGTAGTGTTCCCAAAGCCCCCATTACAGGAATGGCCGCATGGGACCCAATTTAGATGATGACAATCACATAGGTGAACTAGGGTGGTTAGATGAACCCCCTTTGTTTCCATGGTGCTTTGAATCTCAAGGCAGCACTATCCGAAGACCTTAGAAAGTGCAATGGCCCCAAAGGACCACCGTATACACAAACACACGGCATGCAGTTTGTTTCAGCAACCCGTCGCCATGAGGCTGGCATCCACTTCCTGAAGCTCAGCGGGTGCCACAGCGGATCCCCGGACGGGGACATCTTCAACTTCGTGAACCCGGGCGCCACGGCAACGAGGGGTACCTGCAGCCCCTTCTTTGAAGCACAGAGGGTGGGCTCAATCCTATGACCTTCCTATGTGGAACATGGTGGGTCCACGAAAACTCATCCCTCCCATACACCTTTCTCGCAAGTTTTCCCCAGAGCTTGGGTCGAGGGCCCGGAGCTCGGTTGAGGATTCCTCGGGTTAAAGCTGTAAAGTCCATTGGATGGGCGCGAGTGCGGAGGCTACCTTGGAATTGGGAAATTTGCCAGGCTCATTTGGGCGCCTCACAGTGTCACAGCCCCGAGCTCCATGGTGGGCCGGCCAGGTACTCCCCAAGATCTTTGGCTCTCGGACATCAACCCGGGTTTGGGAATTCATCCGCAGAGGATTCAGGAAGACACCAGTTGGATGGGTCAACTCACTGCCCGCGCAGGTTGAATCGCATCGGTTCAGACCAGGCATACCCCGCGCCACTATTCATCGCTGTCCTCGAAATGACCAGAGAACCCTCCACCAACCATTGGACTCATTCTTGGCATTTGTAGTAATTAGGGTCTTTGAGGGACAGGACCCCGACGCTGTGCTGCGAAGGTTTGTCCGGATAACTTACCAGAGAGCCACCGGGAAAAAGGCAAGAACAAATCACGCAAACATGCGGAGGGCCGAACATTATGCCACCCTTCAAGCCAGAAGGACAGTAATCAAAAAGGCTCGACCTTTGAACTTCAGAAGTGAAGATACCAAGATGTGACCGTAGTTCTGATGCCTGGTTAGCACCTCCGTTCATAAGTGCATGGTTAAGACCAGCATGACTCATCACGTGCACTGCTATGAGGGTCATGCAAATCCCTCCTTGAGGCCTCAAACGTCCCTGGGCAGGATGTGCCATAGTTGCCAAGCTGGGGTTTGCGGTGTGTAAAGCAGTGGGTGCAGTTCACTCACGCATCGCATATAAGATTGCCTTATGAACGAGCAGCATTCGATTATGTTGGACAACAGCTTGCAACTCGATTACAACTGCACGACACCGGGGAGTTTGGCATATTGCGTACAGAAAGGAATGGAACAGTGTGGAAGGAATGGAGCAAGCACAAGGTAGATTTGTGGGGCTTAAAATAGTATTATATATGTATATATATATATATGTATATATATATATGTATACATATATACACATTCACGCATAGACCAAGCCCAGTTGGGTGGATTTTAAGCAGGACAGCAACTGTATGCTCACCAATGTTCCTTGCCTCCCCGCTGATTTCTGAGGCGGACGGTATCACTTAGACTTGGGGCGGCCCTACGATCGCAGCCTGCTGCGGATGCTTCACAAGAAGTGTGAAGACGCAGGCGCATGAGTCCATGGGTCGGCACAAAGGCACATGCATAGGGTTCCCTTCATGTTGCATGAACCACTGAAATGACTCACACGCCCACCAACTACGCCCAGGTGATACCCAACTACCACCAGAACCCTGCAAAACCCTGGCCCACGGTAGCTCCGGAGCACTCTGAACCCCCTGAACTGTTTGGAACCCTTTCGGAACCCTCCGGATTTTTCCGCTCCATGGAAGCCCGCGGAACTCAAAGAACCCATCGGAGCTTATTTGGGCCTGTCGAGCCCATAGCTTTCATTGGGGACAACGTTTGCCAAGTTGAGCAGGTTCTACTCCGTGGGGTGAGGTGGGGAGCCAAGCAACAAGTTTTCCGACTCTGCAGATTCATCGCCAGGACATTTGTCAGGAAGCCCCCAACCCCCCCCCCCCCCGGGCCTTGGGTCGCTCTGCAATATCCATCGGGCTGGTACCAGCCAGACCTTGTTGGGGAACATATAGAAATTTAGAAGACATCCGAGCCGTGAGATGTTCAATAGTCCTTCCAAATGGTTGCGCATAAATCCCCGCCGAATTTGGATGTCAACCAAAAGGTCCCACCTGGCCTGACGGGTTTTGGTGAAACCGTCAGGCCAGCCGCCATCTGCGGCCTTCCATGACGTGTCCCACAGCTTCTGCGCGGAGAAGGCAGACGGCATCTATCAGGCCAGGGCAGACCCGGCGTTTGAACCAGCGTTTTCGAGGAAACCCCTGAATGATCCCAAATCTTCTATGTATGGAATATTAGCCCACATTTATCCTTTAAAAGCGCTCAAAGTGCTATTTCACCCGGGTGATGCTATGTTGAAACAAGAATGGCGCATGTGCATTGAGGCATCGGGTAATACTTGATTCAACCATTTGCAAGCCAGTTCATGACCAGAGTTAGGGAGCAACTCTTAGTATGCACATATATATATATATAGTACATAGATGCGGGTGGGATTTGTACTAGGAGACGCTAAAAAAGTTGTTTTGGTTTTGTTCTTTCAAGCCATCCCAAAAGGGATACCCCCTTGCTCCCTCGTTGGTCGGTGGCACTTTGTTCTTTGATAGTGCCACCCATTTGTTCTTCGGACAGCTTTCCGTGGCCCGGGCAAGCCCATCTCAGTTGCCCCAAGCCGACCTTTTCACCTTCTGGCATCTTGGCACATTTGTCCAGGTTCCCAAAAGGTGAAGCTTTTTGGAGGAGTGAGCCATGGCGTTCCCAAGCGCCCGGCCACGCTCGCGGCCGCGGCCGTCGCAGGTGCCGCAGAGTGGCCACCTGTCGCTGAGCTTCTGCGAGCCGCAGCCGGAGGTGTCGGAGCCGTGGTCCTTTCAGCGAGTGCTGGACAGGAGCCTCGCTTGATCCGCTCTTCTTCTTGTTTGTGCGTGTGTGTCTGTGTGTGTGTGTTTTTTCTAGATCCAGTAGTGCCCTTTCTCACCCTTTTTTGGTTGGGAGAGTTCCCCTGCTAAAATAGACTACAGGAAAAAGGGTACCCTTATTCTAACCTCTCTACTGGAGGAGCTAGTTTTCAACCATGCCCCATATGGTGCAAGCAGGGAGGTTTGCAAGGCCACCGCGCGACAGGAAAACAAGCGACGCCGAAAAAATAGCGGGTGGGTTGGGCCCTTCCCGGCTGGATGACGCGGTGTGCCCTCTTCCTGTTCGGGTGAGGTATCTCTTCGAGGCATTCCTTTTCAACCTCTACAACCGTTTGTCCCATCTTCACTCAACCACTGTCCTGAACACTCCACTTTCATTGATGTGGTTGGTTGCACTTGTTGTTTCGCCCATTGAGTCATTAGGGGTTAGGGGAATTGCATATTCTTGACCACGGGTGTGTGATTTTGCCCTGGCTCTCTGCGAATCGTCCCAAAATCCAAAATCACGCCACTTAAGCCTCCATGCCCACTTTTCGCACCCAGCCGCAACCACGGGACCCCTCTCGCAAGCAAAAAGGAAGTTGAACGCTCACCAGCGTCCGAGGACTTGGTGCGAGAGGCGGGTGAGCCCCAGCTGCTACCAGATGGCGCAGCTCTTGCGGCAGTGGCATTTGGCAGAGGAGGACCCTGAGACGAAGCTCATCCTCCTGGAGGCCAATTCGATAGGGCTGAACCTAGGGAAGGCTTCAGCTGACACCAATGCTTCCAGCTGTTGGGGAAAAAGGGTACCCTCATCAGGAAACACACACCATGTATGCGATATGGTGACAAGACCCCTCGTTCGTTGGGATGAAACTATTGTCACACTTGATCCAAGTCCTCCTGCGACATGTGTTTGTTTTTCTTTTTCGGGGGGTCCGCATGTTGACTCATTCCGACTTCATGTCCTAAACCTTGGACGCATTGTGCTGCCTGCAAATCTGCCAGTTCACCAACCATGCTTCAGACAATTTGTTGCCTCCCCCTTAGGCAACCCAACAGCGGTTCAGCCCACAAAGCAAAAAACTGATGGCCCAGGCACGTGCCTGTCCGAACCGTAACCTTTCTGTTTACTTTCCTCCAGCCAAGGGAAGGCTTGATTGTGTGCTTCGCGCTGTTGGGTGTTCAACCAACTTAGCAAGCAAGTCATGGCCATGGTTGTTTCTGAGGGTTTGCCCCAGTTGCTCCAGTTAAAACCACTGTTATAAGTTACAATCTACTTTCTAAGTCGGCATAGTCAGCTCAACGCCCAAGTACCCACAGCTTCATTGGGGCACGGGATTTGTCCCCAGAATTTGTGCAGCCTGGAGATTCATTCTCGATGAATTTCCCGGTAGTTCTTGTTTTTAACTTGCTTTTCCTGAATATCGTTGTTTTTTTTGTTCCGTAAAGTCGTGTAAAACTACTAAAACTGCTATATGTTCGTGAGATTGCAGAATTGGTCCCTTTTTACGTTTGCCCCGCCCGGAATGACCCGCAAAACGCCCGCACAAAGCCCGCAAACGCCCGCAAAACCCTGCAAACGCCTGCAAATCAGAAAAGACGTTTTTGGGTTCGGGGGTCGCCGAAAACTCCTAGAAACCATTTAGAACGTCCAACACGCCCAAAACTACCAGGAAACCAAAACGCCTCGGAAAAGGCCGGCCTTGCCGTCTAAGTAGACTCAACGCTTTGCTCCCTTGCGTTTCCTTTGGTGCCGAAAGACAGTGACTCAATTGGGGAACCCACAGAAAGCTGAACAAATGAACCAAAGGTTACGTAGCCAGGATTACCAGCCACTGACCTGAGGTACCCTACTTGGATGACCGCCTCAGTAGGTGGTTGATAACCGTGGTTGAGATTTCTCCCCCAAAAAACGGATTTACTCTATGTCCCACTTCGGACGAATCTCAACCCTAGGGTTAGCCACGAACTGGGCCCTATGGTCAGCGAAGTCCTTGTTCACTGCGAGGTCTTAGCCAAGGACTTCATTGTCTCCTCCGCGTTGCTCAAAGAGATGTGCGCCTCACAGCCCAACATGCTACGGGAGATCCTGACCCTCCGCCTGCACGTTTTCTTATGAGGTCTACGGTGCAGTCTTGCGGTAGTGCATGCTTGTGTTACATTTGTAGGAAACAAGTGGTCCTGTGAGGTTTTGTGTTTTCTTGTGATTTGCTGTTTGCTGGTGTGTGTGTGTGTGTGTGTGTGTGTGTGTGTGTGTGTGTGTGTGTGTGTGTGTGTGTGTGTGTGTGTGTGTGTGTGTGTGTGTGTGTGTGTGTGTGTGTGTGTGCGTGTGCGTGCGTGCGTGCGTGCGTGCGTGCGTGCGTGCGTGCGTGCGTGCGTGCGTGCGTGCGTGCGTGCGTGCGTGCGTGCGTGCGTGCGTGCGTGCGTGCGTGCGTGGGTGGGTGGGTGGGTGGGTGGGTGGGTGGGTGGGTGGGTGGGTGGGTGGGTGTGTGTGTGTGTGTGCTGCACTATAGTGTATTGTTGTGTTGTTGTTGCCGTTCTTTCTGCGATGTGTTGTGTGACTTGCTGTGCGGTGTGTTGTGCGGTGTTGTGTTGTGTATTGTTTTCCTGTTATATTGTTATTCGTTGTTATGCGTTTGTTATTCGTTGTTATGCGTTGTGGTTCGTTGTGTTTTGTTGCGGTACGTGCCAAGTTGTGCTGCGTTTGTTTGTTTGTTTGTTTGTTTGTTTGCTTGTTTGTTCGTTTGTTTGTCTGTCTGTTTGTCTGTCTGTTTGTCTGTCTCTTTTCTTTTTTTGGCTTTGCAAACCGGTCAGGTAGTGACTAATGTGGAAGCAGATTCACATCGAACGTGGCCGGGCATCTCCATTCAACAGCATGGCACACCTCCAACGGCACTAATTTCAGCTGTCTGAGACTGATAAGAGGTCAGAGTTGTTTAAAGCCCACCTGCCCTTCTACTCGCACCCAAAAGAGAGGCGAGTGTGTTCTCATCTGAAGCACCGCTTAGTTTCTGGCACTTGTTTGGGCAATTTTGCTTCACGAATCCAGCTGGATGTCCGGTGCATGGCTCCGCCCTGGGCTGTTGAAGGCCGCCATGTCATGTTTGGAATCAGCATGGTGGGCTGCAACATCTCCAGTGTGTGTCTAAACAGGGATTGGGACCCCCCACTATTTTGTGTTTGTCCGTTTTTCTTGCCAAGAAGGTCAAGACAGGTCTCGAAGGCGAACCGGTTGCTCAATATGTGGGAGAGCCCTTTTACCCCTCATGGTTGGACATGCATTTTCCAAGGCCAGTCTTGAGGCCGACGCTTGAGACCCTCTGCTTTGAGACAGGCCATGTTCACTATGGTGTTTTGGACAAGTTGCTGTCGAGGCCCACTTTTGGAGTGCCCTTTTTGCCTCATTCGTGCAGACCCGCCAGACGCGCCAGTCTGTTCAGCTGAGGAGCCGTTTGATCCATTGCATCCGTGGGCGGGCTCAGCAATACCTGGCCACCATGTGCCTGCCTCAAGCAGCGATTTGGGGGGGGGGGGGGTTTAGACCGTTGATGATACATCACTCGTTCATTCCGCTTTCAGATTAGGTCAGGTAAGGATGGCATTCCATGTGTACAAGCGAACTAAGCCCAAACAACATCAATGTTTATCCCCCGTCTCAGCAGCGCCGGCACCCCTATTGCTTATTGCCACACTGATATTGGATTATACAAACATGGTGTTGTTCCGGTTTAGCAAAAGTCAATATGGTCCCTGGCTCTCACTTGCGTTTGGGTTGAGCACAAGGGCGTCCAAAGCCCCCTGGACGCGGATCATCAGCGATGTCAAGCTTCAACTGAGGAAACCTGGAGTTTGCTTTGACCCCTAGCATTTGAGCGCATGGGCCTTTACTCCCAAAATAAATGTTTGCGAACCCTTCAATCAGTATTTCTTTTCAGAAAGTCCCTTGCGAATCTTTCCAAGGCAGCCTTTGTTTCCTCGCTTTCAACCCAAGGATCTTGGCAACAGTACATGAGGTAGACATGTTGGATATGTTTGAGATGGTTGTAGGACGCCTCCTGTTTGATGTATGTTTGAGGACTCGATACGTTTCATGTTGAGACGGACATACTACTGTTAGCAGCTACTAGTCTTTCACGCCGTCTTGCCTCTCGGATCATTTCTGTCCAATACAGTGAGCCACGACCTGAACAGGCCTTTGAAAGAGCCCTTTCTTGCTGGGGGGCTGCTATGTCACGATGTGGAATCATGAACGGTTTGCAGTGTTGTTCAACCCGGAAGCTCTTGCGATGCATAGGAAGCCCCGTCTGGTCAAAGCCTGAATTTGGTCGATCAGGCGAGATGGTGTCTCAAGGGAGCGTTTGGATACAGGCCTAAGGTTAAGCTTGTCGGGGCAGTCAGCTCAAATGGTCAGATAGGGAGTCACCCTGGGAGCAGAGATCGAGTCCAGCAATTGGGGGAGTTTCGTTGGCCTTTGTTTAACAGTGACATGCTTTTGCCAACCCCATGTGATGGAATTGGCAATAGGCGGGTAGCGAGGCTTTCGAATGAAGGCGCAAGCGCAGCCCAAAGCGGAGGTTTGGTTTGGTGGAGTTCCGTTGCTTGTGGCGCTAAGCCAATTTGGGTGGGCCATGCACGCATCCTGCAGCCTGGACATCATTGACATCATTTTCTCACTTGGGTCTGGGCGATTAGTAAGTAATTGGGAACTCTGGTTGTGAGCTGGCTATGAGCCGCGGATCACTTGGACCCATGACTGGTGTGGCTTACCATGTTGCCCAGCACTTACCGGACGTACCCGGGAAACCGATTCTTTTGAGGGGTTCTGTGTGCAAACCGAGGCTCGCTCCCTCGGTTTGCTCCTTCCTTCGGGTCATGGACAATGTGAAGAAGCTGCTGCTCGTCTCGGGGCCAGGTGCCTCCAAACCCCCCATCACACTTCCCAAGTTGGACTTGAGTCATTTGGGAAGGCCAATTTCGTCGCAGGTTCTGCCATCCCAAGTGACTCAAGTTTGGCCTTCCCAATTTTGGCCATCCCGTGCTGTGGCCAATTCATCCAGACAATGACATCTGAGATCCAACCCAGCAAAGTTTGAAGAGAAAGGTTCGGAAAGATAAATGGGTCTCTCTTTTTGAGGGTTCCCTGTTTGTTAGGTTTGAAAGGGACACCAACAGGAAAACTCCACGGTACCCTAATAACAGACACACCCCATCTGAGGTTCGGTTAACAGAGGAACGAACCGAGCTCATTGTTGCGGCACAAATCGCTTCACTTCTCCGCTGTCCCTCCGCATTTGAGAAGATGTTGTCTGTTTCAAGAGAACACCTTGTTGGTTAGCTTGAAGGCTTGCAAGCTAAGGCATTTTGGAAAGGATGAGCCCCTGTTGGGGTCCTGTTCAGGGACTTAAGATGTTTGACCAATCGTGTGGCTAGTTTCAACCCAACGCCATGGCGTAAGTTCCGTGCAAGGGTTATAAGCAAGGTGGCACATACCCCTGTCCCTGTCAGGATTCGATCCTAAGCACGCAATCGAATGCTTAATACTTTATCCTATGATGACCAAATATGGCTTTTCGCAGCTCCCAGCAGCCTTCAGTCAAATAGGCTTCATGTTACTGCCTGGTGGGTGAAATCTGTGTTTCGACCGAGGCTTTCCGCCCCTTGGTCCCAAAAGGATCTAGCAACCCCATCCCAGTTTGCTCCCTTGAGATGAATCAGCCTTTCAGTGGCATGGAAAACAACACCCTTCCTCGTATTCCTGATGTTCATTTTGTGGCAAGGATGGCTCATTAGTGTATTTTCCTTGTCGTAGAACTTGTGACCACCAAATGGTCAACATAACCACTAGGAACAGGGTCTCTTTCTTGAGGGGTCGCTTAGGTCAGGTTTGTGAAAAGCTCGGCTCCCTATATGTCAGTTTGATGGATTTACAACATTACCTGGGCCTATTTAGCTTAATCTGCCTTACGGTGATGTCTGGGAAGTGTAGGGAGCCCGGTGTAACCATCGGAGTGCGGCAGTAGGGATGTTTGCTCACTTGCAGGCTTCAGCATCGGCCAAGACCTGCTTGGCCAGTCTAGCAGGGTGTAAATCTGCGCGAGGTCACCGATTCCAGCTCACACATGTGTTTTGTTTGTTTCACGGCAGCAGCTTGGCGCTCTGTTAGCCTATCTGCCGCTACGGAAAGGCCTTTCGAGTTTTGAGAGCTTTGGGCGAGTCTGAAGGGTTCTCAAATTACTTGTGGGGTTGTTTCCTTGTAAACCTGCCACCATGTCGAGGGTCGTTTTGAGAATGTTGCTTCAATGGGCCCAGCGCCAGGTATACGTTGTTCGTAACCCACCCGCAGAAAGGGGACTTACATCCGTGGCTTTGGCGGGTTGTAGCCATGGCTACGAACTACTGACCACTTACTAAGTTTCGCGCCCCTTTGGGTAGTTGGGGGCAAGGTTGGAACTCAATCTGCACATGTTGTGCCAGGTTGTAATCGGATATGTTTTTGCTTTACTTGCTTTATCTGCTTCGCCTCTCGTTGTGTTAACCTAATTGCGGTCAGGAAGAACAGCACCTCCCTACTGATCCAAAAGGATGCCAAAAGTGGTTCTTGTCCAAATCATTTTTTAAAGACACACCCATTTACAGGGTTCTCGGCATTGCCCAAATGGTCTCGAAGAACAAGGATCTGAACCCCTATGGTGGCGGGAACAAAACTCCATGGTGGGAACATCTGCATTTTGTGGGAACATTTGCTGTTGGTTCTTGTCCAACCTCCGTTCTAGACCCATCAATAATATCTAATACAAACATAACCACATACTTTATATATATATACACACAATAGGCCATCTTGTTTTATCTTGAGGCCTTGTGGTGTTTTGCATCGACTCCCCCTCGGCTTTCCCCGTCTTCTTTTCGTTGTTCGTTTCGTTGGCGGATGTGAGGCTGAGCTTCACGGCGGAGAACCCCACGGGGCACTACTTCCTGGAGCTCTCCGAGGCCTCGGACTTCGCGCTGGCGGAGCAGATCTTGGCGCTGAACCGCTGGGAGACCAGGCTTCGGCCGCTTCGGCCGCTGGCGCCGGGGGCGGGGGCGGGGGCGGTTTTTTTGGCCACGGGGGGAGAGGCTTTGGGCTGAGAAAACGGGGATGAAACGGGGAAATGATGGGGAAAGAGAGGGAAAGAAAGTGGTCGTTTTTGTTTTTGCTAATTTAGAGTAAAAAGAGATACTTGTGACATACCAGGATTTGGACGGAAACAAAGGGACTCGTTTTTGTGAAAGAATCTAAATCATCGCGTGGTTGGCAGGGTCTCTCCAAAGAGGATTTAGAAAACAGGAACCCCCCCCAATACCCAAAAGCAGCCTTAATCGTCTGTTTTAGGATTTCCCCCTAGCCCTTGACATAGGAAGTAAATCTTTCGGTTGGTATTTAAAGGGAACAAAGGGAAACCATGCTTTTTGGGGGGACCCCTGGTGAGTTGGTAGACGGCACAGTTCTCTTGTGGGCAAGAGGATGGTCTGTGTTTTGGATCTGACTGGACAATTTTTCGGAGATGATGATGCAACTCTCTAATCGAACAGTTTGTTTTTGCAGTGCTGGCAATAGCCACCGGCTGATGATCGTTTGCGAACCACCGGGTGTTTCCTGTCGTTTTGACTTACCTCGTCCATATTCAGGTCTGATATCCTTGGTTAAACACTATTTAGTAAGCAATCTGCACATTTAAGTGGATATGTTCTTTTGGTTGAGGCTCGGTACCAAATTTGGGTTCAATAGGACACCAAAAAAGATGCCAAACAGTTTTCCCTGTGAGACGTTGCACGGGACTCAGGACGGTGTGCCCCAAAGCGTGGGGTGGGACGGACATGGCCTCAAAACTTAGGCTCAGAAAGATGGGAGAAATGGGCTACACCTGATGTCGAATGAGCAACGCTTCCCAAAGGTTGGTTTTCCTTTTGGTTCCCCTTCAAACCGATGCTCTCTTTTTGACCACCCTAATTTCCTTAAGGCCTGCGGTTTTTCCTTCTCCTCCCTGTCAAATCGCGCGCTGGCAATTATTTGTTCCAGTTGGCTTGGGATCTTAGCGCGTGTTCGTTCAAAGCGGCTGGCTTTTCCAGCGATGTATGGTAACGCTGTCTCCCGTGAAAGATTATAAGTCTTAGAAAAAGAAACACTGTGCACATCATGGGTTTATGAACCTCATGTCCCTTAGTTGGGACGGCTATACCACATTTTTCTATGCAAGCTATAACGGCGGCCGGAGGGTGGAGCAGCACCTCAACTACCCGGACACCTCCCCGCTGGGGAACCGGTGCCACCTCCGAAACATGACCTACGCTGGCCGACGTTTGCCGGTGCAGGACGTCAAAGCAAAGGCAACGCGCGCCTTGCGATTGGAGACCCGAGACCCTGGCTATGATTTTTAAGAGGTCCCTAAAATAGATATAATGTCCTTACCTTTTTCGTTTGGTCCTCCGTTCTTTGACCATGACCTTCGGAAAGTTGTGAGTAAATGGAGTCACGTTGGGAGGACGTGAGGGAGTGGATTCTGCCGATGTCCGAAGTCTTTGCCTTTGACTACGTCAGCAGCAAGCGGCCCCTCCCCAGTGACCCAGCGCTGGCGCCTTGGCGAGCTCATGGACTGCTGGGTTGACCGTGGGCACAGAAGAGGTCCTGTCAATGCACATGTCTATGGTCCAGGTTCAGGTATATATGGCGGAGCTTTGCATTTCAACTTTCAACCAGCGGACTCTGTGTTGGTCCATGCCCAGCATGGTTACCTGTTGACTTTCGACCGGGGCTCGCATGAGAAATTGTTTTGCGTCAAGATGTTCGTTCCACCGAGTAGTGCATAGGAGGTTCCCGACTTTCCCTGCTTTGTTGGGGGACTTGTTGGGAGGTACAAGGCAGTTTTGCTGTCCACTCTGTGCATGTGCTGGCCGGTATCAAGACTTGGATTTCCACTATTTGAGCACCGTAGTAGCCGTGGTTCTAGAGCCAAACAAGGGTCAGGGGAATGTGTGCCATGTGTGACGCCAACTTTTCAGAGAGCTCCTGTTCGGGGTACTGTTAAACTGTTACAATGCTCCATTTCCAAATTGCATGTTGTCTCAGTTCTTGCTTCTTCTGTGTTGACTGGGCAGACATGGTCCATCATGGTCCGCAAAAAAACTGGCGACCCAAGAAAAGGGACAACCCATAAAACATGCATCACTTGATTTCCTTCTGGCCCCTACTCCAGTTTGACTCCAAAGACCCACTTGTTCAGGGTATTTGCGGTATATGTTGGAGCGCCTGGTGTTTCATGGTAGACACCTTTTGTCGTCAGGGGTTGACATCAGTCATGGTTTAAACACCGTGGGTATGGAGTAATGGGTACATCTGAAGGTTCACTATGGTTCACAAATGTCACCGGACTCAATCTGGTGGTTTTTGGTTGGACGGCAACAGCGGTAGAACATGGTGTGGGGTCGATCGATTCCGTGGGTCAAGCGGGTAACCAGGTAACCCACCAGTTTGCCATGCTGTCTTTTTTGAGGTCACAGTCTTGGGGGTGGTCAAGGGAAACTAAGGGGGGATCTGAAAGTCAAAACCCATTTTGAGGGGGGTGATTCCACTTCCCTGTCTAACCATGGGAACCACTCAACTAGAAGGACCATGGATCGAAGGGGTACTTAGCTACGTGGAGCGAGTCGGCCCATGGGACCCACCGAATGCCTCAGACCCAACGCCTCGCGATGGGTTCTCTCTGAGGAGCCAGAGGACTTCCAGAAGTTCCTGAAGGCGCTCGCCAGGCGGGGGCTTTAAAAGGGGGCGCGGTGGGGCGGGGTTTTTCGCTGTTGTCATTTGGTTGGGCCGTTCTTTGGGTGTCTGGTTGTTCCTTTATCCCGGGATTACGTTTCTTCCCGGCATTCTATGGGGCTGTTTGGGGTTCATTGAGCGTTTGAGCCTGTTTGTTGGCGCGGGCGGAGAGTTAGGCGAAATAGGTCCGTTCTGATTCCGATTCCTTGCAATGGCTTTTGGGTGGACCAATGTAGCACTTGCAATGCGAAGATTTCGCACCGCGACTTGGGATCAGATGGGGATTCAGGCTCTGCCAGTGCTTCCAGGCAAGCCGCAATAGTTGGTGAAGGGAAACCACCATGTAAAACGCTGAGGTAAACATATAGCTAACTAGAAGCACCGGCTCACCCCACCTGGCTTGGGGGCTTCGAGGCACCCAAAAATCAGCATGCGACTTCCGGTGTGACATGTACTCCACGAAGAAACCCTTCGACGCCTGGCGACTCTGGCATGCGTATTGCCGAAGGTGTTTTTGTGGGTCCGCCCCATTTCAGAGTTCTTCGTTTTCCCAGAGTGTAAACGTGGGGCTGGGCATGTTTCAACATTCAGACCCTGGCCCCTTTCAAAGGGAAGCCAACCTGATGTTTAAGCAGCGTTGGTTGAAATCCATGCAAACGAGTTGCCTAATTAACCTTTGTCATGAGCCGAATGAACCGGGCGGTGCGTTATGGAAGCTTGGGAATTTCCGGCGCACCTACTTTTTGTGGAAAAACGGGCAAGCTCTGAACGGCATGGGATGCTTTGAGACTTTAGGAAGCGGGGAAAATGCTCAGGCCAAAAGCTCACACTGATTTGGGGTACCTGGATCGCCATTTGCTGTTTTTTCTTCCATGCGCTACAACCCAAAAACCCAGCAACAGTGACTGAAAAAGACCAGCAACTTGGCTATCTAGGTAGTTGTTGCTTTGAGTGAATGGAGTAGGTTGTTTATCAGCATTAATAGCGGTGCATTTATCCTAAGTGGTGCCTGGCATCAGTTTTGCCCATAGCAGGGTTGCTCCTTTGGCCGATGAAAAGAACCAATAGCACGACAAGATACAACAATGTTTGCACCTTCATGTGGGTGTTGCTCAAAATTGTGGACGCCGGTTTGAAGAAGAAACCAAAAGGATCCCAGCACCTGCCATCCTTGAGACACACTCATGTTGGTTGATGTTCCTTCTCCTTTGAGTCCGATTTTGGACTTGGTTTCAACCCCCCCGCCCCCTCCCTTGTCCCAAGCGCCGCGGCCTAAGCGCACTTGGCAAGCCGCAAAGACCCGCAAGCTCTTTGGCTGAGCGGCTTCCCCACCCTTCCGAATCCATCCGAATCCAGGGGCCGAATGGGACCGGAGCTGCGCTTGCGGGCGCTGCGGGCGGTGGCTTGCCACCTCTTTCTCCAGGCGTCACACTTTTTTTTGGGGGGGAGGGGTTGTGGACATGGGCACAGGGGTCTGTCCTTTCCTTTTGCGGCTGCGTGCTCGTTTTGGGGTGGGTTTTTGGGGAAAACCACCCATAGGTCCGATTATCCTGTTTTGAGGCAAACCTATAGGCGTCCCTAGGTTAGTGTGATTCAAGGTCTACTTAGGGTCTGTTATATGATACACCAATATTTTTCAAGCTGAAAGGAAGCATAAGGGAAGCCCAGAGCAAGTAAACGTCCCTTACTAGTGTCAGTCCGGCTCCCGCTAAAAGTCGTTACAGGGTTTCTGAATAGGTGTGCCTTTTGGCATTGTTTTTGAGAAACCAACCGTGTTGTTCTATGTGTTTAGTTCTCAAAAATTGAAAGCATGGTCAGGTGAAAGCGCAGTCACGCTCGGTTCCATATGTTGATAACGCAAGGCGCACAGAAATCCAGGCAATGCCATTGGTCACATCTACTCGGTGTTATCTTGCGCAACTGGTGGAAGGTAGCAGGGTCGAGCTCGATTGACCGGAACAGCTCGATAAATCTGTCTAAAATGGGTCTGTCTGTTTGGCGTTGGTACCCCTTTTGGTTTGAAACGAAAGCCAAAAGGAAACCGAAACACATTCTCGGGGGTCCGAATCCTAGAAGCTTTCCCATAGGTCATTAGTGCGGGCTGCATGGGCTGGGGCATGCCAGGAACCCTTGAGTCAAAAAGACATCCGCAACAACAAACATGTTCAGATTTACTGGGATCCATTTTGGTAAGTTGTGCTGGTTGTACAGATGGCACAAAGAAAGCCAACCTACTTTTCCGTTCAGTTCTGCTTTCCTGTAAACGGAAGCCAGCTCAAACCGACTTGCAGGCAGCTCAGCTTCGGCTGATCTTGGGCCTCTTCGAGGACGGGTGAGAGAAGATGTTTTGCGGTGGGAACAGCGAGCGGGTCCAAGCCGGTGTGTGTTTTTTTTAGGGCAGGGGAGCTGCCAAAATGGTGGTTTCTCTGTGGCTTTCCTTCTAAACAACCAACAAAAGGATGCCCTCGTTTTGATCGCTTAGTTTGGTTAAAATAGATGGGTTCCGCGGATTCCACTGTTTAGATTGGATTGATTCCGCATTTTCCGGGGCCATGTTTAGTATTGAAAAGGTCGCCTATGATTGTCTCAAAGTAGCGGAGCCCCCCAAAATAAGAGGTGTTTTTTTTTGGTGCCCCTTCAACACAACCACAAAAAGGGAACCCTGAACAAAGGAAACACGCCCATGTGGCAAAGTTCCAAAAATCAGAGCCATCTCAAAGTTTTCTGACACAAAAGCCATACCAGCACGCAACTGTTGATTTTTGGACATGCATCCTCACCGAATGTTGATGTCCAGCATGTCGTGTCAAATATAAGTATAACTTCATGGATGGGTTTGGTTCCGGAACCGATCTGGTGTCCGTTTCTGATTCCCCAAAGCATCCTCTGAAAAGACCCGCGATCGCATTTACGTCCCGATGGCATCAGATGTTTACATCCCAAAGCTGGCATGGGCGAAGCCTTTTTCATTTTCCAGGTGCCAGGGAAGTCTTAGGGCGACGCTGTCAACACAGGATTGCCCCACGCCTCAGATGGAAATCATTGCTGACACAAAACCGCTAGGGTAGAGATTTGGTGAACGGGTCCTATGTGGTTTTCTTTTTCGGCCAATTTTCTACCGAAGGTGTTCTTATGGGTTTCCGGGTACTGAAGCCTTTGTTTCATTTCCAAATTTGTCAAGTGTGTCTTGGTAAATGGCCTCGCTTCCTGTTTTGCAGTGTCAATTGAGAGCAACCCTGAAACGCCATCCGAAAGTGTTCAACCTGGCCATGTTTGAAGCAGGTCTACCTGATTGATTGGTGGTACCCCTGGAACGCGTTTGCCATCGTGGGCTTGGAGCCATACGCAGTTCCTTAGATTTTCTTTTTGAATATCACCCTCCCGACAAATCATGCTCACTTAAAACTAGTCCAAAAGGTGACGCTGAAACCAACCCGGGGACATGTGCACTCTAGTATGTGAGAAACGCCACGCAGGAGGGCTTTCGTGCACGCTGCGCCGCGCCCTGGCATGGCGAAGAGTTGAAGGTTGCTAGGGACATGCTAAGGCCATGGTTAGACGAGGATGGTGGACCTGTTGTACCTGTTTTCAGTGTACCACTCTGAGATAAGACTTCTGCCTGGGAGCTAGTGAAGGACCACAAGACGTGCTTACTTTCATTCATCATTCTGGACTCAGTGTCGGTTATTGGGCCTTGGCCAGTGACTTGCAGGTGGATATTAAGGCATCTTGTTCTCAAGAATGAAGGATGTATCTCAACGGAGCTTGGCCTTTGGGTTTGTAGCCAGTTTTAGCCACCAGAAATCCGCCGAAATTGTTTAGCCGTTGAGGCGGCAGTTGACTGGAGTACCCGCAATTCAGGGGTCACTAAGTCATTATTATAGCTTGTGGAATCAAGACCGCACCCCATGTTCCAGTTATCCCCAACCCAACCCCCCCGCCCCAAAAGAAAGAAGAAAAGCACACACCCACACCTTCCAGTGGTTGGAATCGGTTGCTGATCTGCCTAGCGCGTGAGGTTTACCCAGGCCAGCAACGCTAAGAAACCGTTTTGGTCCGCCCATACGGTGTGGTCCTGTTGGTCAAGCGGCCGTGGGTCAACACCAATAGTACCATTTTGGTGTAGGTGCACCACCCATTTTAGTCGATAGTGGGGATTTGGATGTTCACTGGGGGTACGATTTGGGTTTTGACCCCTAGCCAAGTCGGTTGGTGAGGTGATCTTCTTCTTCCGGGTGGTGGACATGCAGAACCAGAAGATCTTCCGTTGCGCGCTGGAAGACCAGCAGCTGAAGCTGCTCCAGAAGAGCCCCTCGATTTGTTCTGCGGAATCGAGAGCCCTTGGGTGGTTTGGATGGGTGGTTTGGGGATTTGAACCCCCTCCTTAGCCAAATGGGGAAGGCACCCAACACCTAAGCAAGCCACTAAGGGGGAAGCTGAGGGAAACACAAGCCACTCATACTTTGCTGTCCCCCTTCTGGACCGGCGCGTGGGCAAAACATCAGTGTCAAAGTACAGTGTTGCTCCGCTTTTTTGCTGTGTTTGAGGCCTCGAACATGCGGGTCGAAATGGAACAACTGCCTCCATCTATGGCCCCTGGATTTCGGATTCGCGTTGGTTGCCCCTGGACCGAAGGACTGAGCCAATGGATGGCAGGTCCTTTTGAATCCGGAGGACCCCACAGAGGAACCGGGTCCCCAAAATAGATTCCATTTCCCCAAAGGGAACCACCCCTGAGTACTTCGGATTTCTCCGAGGTTGACATTACCCTAAGTTTGTGGGTAGACCTTTCATGAGGTTACTTTTGGAAGCTACCATGTTCTTTTTCTTGTTTTATTAAAGCAGAAACCAGACTGTGTTCTATATGTATCTATCTACCTATCTATCTATCTAATATAATCTAATCTAATCTAATCTAGTCTAGTCTAATTTAATCTAATCTAATCTAATCTATCTATCCATCTATCTATCTATCTCTATACATATATATATATATATATGGTTTTTGGCGACACGAAAGGCACTTTGGGTTTTGACTTGCAAGGCCTGGGATGCCTCGCGTGCTTCCCTTTCATCCAGTTGGAGCACTACACGGTCCGGCGCTAAGGGCTAATTTCGGCGTGATGCCATAGGTCCAATGGTAAAACGGCCTGCTTTGGTACGGATGGTCATAGGCTTGGAGCTTTGACCACAAGGCTTCTTGTAGGATGAGCCCACAAGTTGCTTGACCACGGCTTTGACCATTGCACATATGGGTGTGCTGTTTGTTGGCTTTGGTATCCTTTTGCTGGAAAGGGACACCGAAGGCAAGTTAAGAGGGCGTCCCCGTTTTTGAGACAAACACATGAATCTAGTTCCTGGAGGGCATCAGCCTTTGTTGAATGTAGGTTATTCAATTATTACAATATGAAGAGGTAACGGTGCCAGAATTGGTATATATCAGAGGTACTTAGTGTAAAAGCACGCGAAAGAGCCCTACCCTTTCTTCCTGGAGTACACCCGTGGGAAGTGTCCCATCGTTTTGCGTTCAATCTACAAATGCAGTGCGGCTATTGCGCACACCTTGGGTCATTTGCCCAGGTGTCATGTGCGTGTAAGGTTGCCGACGCTCAGTTGCTGAGACAGCACACGCGGAGGTGGCGTGTTTGCTGCATCCTATTATTGTTGTCAATTTTGGAGTCCTTGACCTCATAGGAGCCAGAGCCAGCTTCTCCATGCCAACGAATAAAGGCAGATGACAGCGTGTGTGTGTTTTTTTTCTCGGTGAGCTTTGTCTGATTTTTTGTTCACTGAGGTTTGTCTGTTTTTTTGTTTTAAGTCTCGCTCGGGTTGACTACAATTACATGTTTTCCCCTACAGGCGACTGACAACATCGTTTGTAGACTATTGTGGATTTGGGGAGGACATGGGGTGGCCACTCAGTTGTTCCATGTTCTCTTGGGCAAACATGTAATGTTGCCCTTTGGCCCGGTTTCCGAAAATCGGTCTCATGCCCAAAGCACAGCGGGCCAGTGCCCAGGGAAGCATTGCGCAGTGCGCTACTTGAAGGGGCTAGGCTACCTCAGGTAGGTGGTTAGTACCTTGGTTATAAAACCATGGGAGGTCAAAAGAAAAAAGGTTGCTGGAGGTGCCCTGCCCCATGAAATCCTCCCCCAATTCCCCCTCAACCCCAGCCACCAGGGCGGTCGGCCGATTTTGAGGCAGAGCCAACATAAAGGGACATTTTCGCAGAGGACCCCCGCTCCCATTTCCCATGAAGAAAGGGTCACTTCGGTGAGGCAATGGCTGCTCTTTGGTTTGTGATTGTTGCTGTTCATCGGCAAAAAGACAAATCCAACCCACCAACAGAACATGGTTGCCACTTACAGGTCAGACAGTGCAACAGGCAATCTTCGCGGCATAGGCGACTCGTGAAAGGGGTTCCCACCAACTCGAAGAGTTGGACCAAGCCAACCAGCCAAGCTCTTGAAATCCAAGTTTCATTGAACCATGCAAGCAAAAAGAGAGAACGGTTTTGGGGGTTGAGGGTATCTTTGTCAGTTGGTTGTTTTCCAGAAACAAGGAGTAGAGGCAACACGATTACTAGTTTTTTACACCTGGACCCCTACCACGACCAAAGTCGGTAGGCTTGCCGCACTCACAACCCTTCACAACCCCATCGGAATTGCGTACCTTAGCTGCTGGTTTAAATCGGTGGTTTGAGGATTTGAACCACTGCTTCCTTTGAAGGGTAAATGGAGACCACGCCTAACTACACCACCGGGCTCCAAACCATCAATTAGGGGAAAGCTGATATACGTATATATATATATATACATAGAGAGAGGGAGAGAGAGAGAGAGAGACATATACACGTATACCCCCTACTCCCCAATTTTTAGTCAAGGATCAACATCATACTTTATTGGACGCTTCAAAAAGGTGGGTTTTGGGTGTAGGGGGCCTAGATATTCCCTGTATATATATATATATATGTACAACCCCTACTCAAGTCGGCTTTGGTTGCACATCAGGCGGAGCTGGACATGAGCTTCCAGGACCAGCGCCGTGCCGTGCAGATCCTCTGGCAGCTGGCGGAGAAGGCCGGCCTTCGCCTTCGCGCCATTTCGCGCCGAATCGGAGCCACCGAGGAAATCCCAGCCAAATCCCAGGGTTTCGTTTCGGCGGCTTGGGCAAATCGGGCACCCCAAACGAGCTCAAACAATCCCGAAAAGTTTCGAAACATCTCAAGAAGCCTCAGGCTTGGGAATGCCAGTCAATTCCACTTTAGTATTCACAATTTCTTGCCGGGCTGGAAAGTCTAAGTTCTCAAAACATCTCAAGATATCTCAAAACATCTCAGAAACGCCCAACAATCTCAATTATCTCAGGACTGCAAGTTTTGGGAGCAAAGAAAAACATCTCAACAGATCAGATTGCGTTCCCAAACTTTCAGAAATATTCTCAGTGGGGATGAGGTAAAGCTAGAGACTGCTTGCTGCTGTGATGTAAGAGGCGCTTCCAGGGTATGCGTATGTGTTTGCAGGTGCATGCGTAGTGAGCACGGTTCGGCTGTGTCCTCAGTTCAACTCGAGCAAAGCGATGTCATATGTCTCCTGACAGTGAACGCCGCAGACCTTGGCATGATTTTTGCATGGCCTTGGCGAGTGTGTGTATCTGTTTGTTGGCTATCAGCCATGTCATTGTTGTCGTGTGTCATGTGTGAGAACTTAGCTTCAGGAGTGCTGGGCAGACCCCAGCCCTGGCAAAAAAAATGTGAACGCATCAGAAAAAGGAAAATTATGAAAACGTGTCATAGACTAAAACGCATTCATGTGTGCGCATGGCATTTTCCAATGGATCTAAACCCCATGGATCCAGCCACCAACAGATTGAGCAGGTGTCGTTCGGAAGCCAGTTGTTTTGTTTGAGGGTTCTGAAGGTACTGTTCCTTTTGACCCTCCAAACAAGAAACATGAGGTTGGGACATTCGCTATGGCTTCTCTGGTCCGAGTTTCCTTGGTCCAGGTCCATCCGCGGCCTGATTTATGGGTTCTGCCCTTTTAAACCACCCCTAGAAAGCAAACCTGAACCTTCAAACTGCCCTTAGAAATTTGAAGTTTAGGGCGATCACCCATTTCTAAGATAATTCTGAGGTTCAAAAAGACACGCCCACATATGCTTCCGCCAGGAGCGGTCCCAGAACCTGCAGGACGTGGCCGCTCAGATGCAACCCAGATGGATTCCCCTTGCAAGCCACATGAACGATTATCGATTCGATCGGAAGGTTAGATGGTTGCATATGGAGCTGCATCTTGCATAGTTAGGCTTAGCTGTTGCCACATCACAGTTCGAAGTTTAGGCTTGTCGAGGAGCGCTACTGTGTTTTTTATGCTTTATAGCACATGTGTATATGCATATGTAATCATACATATATATAGTTATAGGTTTACAACATGCCTTGCCTGGTGTGGGTCAGTGGGTAAATGATAGTTGCAGATGCGCAAACCGTCGTTTACCCGAAATTCCACATGCCAAAAAAACAGAAGTCTCTTCTGCCATGGGATGTCCGGTTTTCTGGCTCAGTTGAGTTTTTCCCCGACTTTGTTTGTTTTTTGTTTGAGCTCTCATTTACCCCCACCTTCCTCTCGTGTGCTAGCATGGAACCCAGCGGGTCCCTTCGAAAAATAGTCCAGGATCCCTCCACGTCAGCATCCATGCTGCAGAGTAACACGTGAATCAGATCGCAGCTTTTTCATTTTTTCCGATCGCTTCCACCCCTCCACGTCAGCTTCCAATAGCGAACAGGAGGGTTCAACATGTAGAAGTCAGATCGCTCTCCTCGAGTCGCAAGTCGCGAGAGGTCTACAAGAGTGCGGATGGGCATGTGCTGCCTGGCGACCAGCCCCGTCCCTGGTTCGTGTGGGAGTCGGTGCCCACCTCCGGCCATGTCAAGGCGATTCCGCTCGTGTTTTGTTTTTTGTTTTTTTTTGCGGGGAGGCGATGGGGGACGCAGGTGAAAAGGAGCAATATGAGTGTGTCTTGCTTTTAGGGGACCCCCAAAATTGTGGGTTTCCTATTGGTGTCCCTTTAAATCACAAACATGGGATGCCCCTCAAAAGAAGACGACCAAGCACCCTTGTGAGTTTGCTTTAAGGGAAATCAAGCCGAAACCAAAGTCCACTTGATATCGTATTTGGAACAACGAAATGTATGAGGCTTGCATATCAACCATTCTCCGCGAAGTTGGGCTGGCTTGAATTTCTCCCACTGCCGTTTGGCTTCAAGCTCATATGGTACGCATTTTCATCGCCCTTCGGTGCATATAACTTGCAGTTTGCTCACAAAACATGGGTTCCGGGGATCTGGAACACATGAATACATCACAAAAGCTGGTCCATATCCCCGTCCGCTTGAGTGAGCAACCCTTGGAACACCAATCATGTTCTTAGCCGTTCACAAAACCATTTGTTGAAGCTGATGGCTGCTTCAGCCAACATGATGAATGCTGGTAAAATTAGGATTTTGAATCTAGGGCCACCGGGTTTTGCTTCGCTTTCCACTGATATGGAGCCAAAGGGGAGAATACCTGGTGACAACTAGCGGCGGCTATTGGCTTCTCGCGGCTTGCTGCCATTTCCATAGCCTTGGAATGAGTACCAAGGTCTTGCCCTCCAAAATACGTTCATGTACCAGCACCCCCCCCAACAGCTGTTTTTTGGACAGTACTCGGACTGTTGGACATGGGAACATCGCTGATAGGCGGTTTTTGTGTGTTTTTTCGCCGTGCCGAGGGAGAGATACTTTGTTACGGCGGAACTCTCAAGTAACCATGGTTAGCACCCGCCCAAGGACTTACAGTGTCTGTGGCGGATTTGCGGCCGGACAAGTTAGTGTTTGTGTTTGGCCTCCCGAGGAAAAAACAAAACACGCTGCTTTCTGAATGATTAGACTCTTCATTTGGGGTGTGGAGGGACGTACAAGTGGGTAACCTGAAGCTTACTGACCAGGTATCCACTTGGCCTAGCAACTAGGATGCCAACTCCCAAACCATCAGGCAGAATTGGTTTAAACCAGCAGACGAAGCCGTTTTTTGTTGAGAAACCCACAGAAGGTTATTCAACGGTTGTTTAAACAAGGACCGAGGAGTTGGCCCCCTAACCCATAGCCGTGCCTATGGCCCAAGGCGGTGTTGACTGTGAATGGTTGACGGCACGCGACACGATATGTTCTAGTGGCACTCAGATAAATAGGTGTGTTCCCTTCAAACCTCGCCTGACCCATGGAGAAATTACATGTTCTGTTTAATTTGCACTCCTCGCCAAATGGGAGAAGCACGACCCAGGGCGATATTCAGTCCAATGGACTCCTTCTTTTTACTCTTGCTCGACTGCCTTGCGGAAACTGTTTGGAAAGGCACCAGAAAGGCCCGACGAAGGAGTTGCCCGTCAAGCCATTGAAGATGTGGGATCGATGTGATTGAAACCAGTTCGATGCTTTGTCCACCTGCCACTCAGGACAACCTTAGGCTCGCTCTAGTTTAACATGCCAACCACCCGCTATATTGTCGAGATATCTCTTTTGGGTGGGTCCATACTGGTTTTGCCGGTAGATGGGGGACCGTGTTTTGAATAACACATGTGTTTTTTGATATGTCGGGCACTCTCGGGCACGCCAGGTAACCTACACGGGAGGCAAGGAGACCTGCTGCCTGCCTCTGCGTAAGAAGCTTCATGCCTGGGCCCCGGATGCACAAGACGCTTCGCACATTTCCCTCAACATGATTGAGGCCTTGCTATACTGTGGATGGACGAAACCTTCACCACTTTGAAGCAATTTGTTTGTTGGTATTTGCGGGGGAATCATCATCCCAATTGGGTGGTGCGAAATGGATTTCGTCCATCCACTTTGTCGCCTCATTTCAAGGACACCAAGGGGAAGGGTGGAAACAGGGGGCTGGGGGATTGGATCTGAATCATAGGGAAGGCATTGCCACTCTCCCAGAGCAGTGACGCATAGTGACGCGCCAACCCCATGAGCGAAGCGTCAACTTCGGAACCCATCGAGGCTCCCACAGAGCGGGAAGGATTCTGAATGAGTTTATCCTTAGAACTAGTGGCTTGGTTTGGTTTGGGCATTGTACCCCACTACCTTCTAACATGAAATGGGAAGGTACCCCTCTTAAGATCCAAACCAGCAAAACAACAGCTAGGGGTAAGGTGAATATCCCCAAATGTTTGTAGCTCGGGGGGAAAAAAAAACATGTCTGCGCTATGATCAAGCTTATTTTTAGGCTCTGCCTTGAACCAGTCCAGCCCCCGGCCCAGGAGGAATTCGGGCACTGGCGCTTCGAGGGGGAGGTGAACTGGTGGTCCTCTCTGGCAGAAGCCCCTGCCGAGGATCGGGACCATCCGATCGGCCGATGACCAAGTCTGAGAGAGACACCCAGAAGAGGAACTGACAATATGACTGGTCTACTGTTGTTTTGGGAGGAGGAGAAGGGGGATAACCTGACTTCGCACGAATGAGGCATTCCGGACTCACATGACATGAGGTCTTTCAAGTGGGGTGGTCCCAACCCAAACCAAAGTTGCGGGCAGCAGTCCGACCCGTCCTAATGTCTCCCATAGGAGGGCTTGAGCAATCCTCGCGCAGTGATGATTGCGTGAATGCAAAAATAAGTACGTATATACGTGTATAATATGATAGAAACGGAGAGGATCTCGCCTAGTAAGTTGAGCTCACCCAGGTTGAAGCTTGCATGTTAGTTGTAGCATGTACGCAAACATGTGTGGGATGAATACACAATGTCACTGTGTCTTATTTCAATCATCGATGAATGTGATATGTTGTTTCCCGACGATTCCGGGCAGGTGTGCTAGCTCGGACTGAAGGAGTCGCCGATGCTCCGCTGGGACTTTTGTGGACCCCTGCGCGAAAGCCCCAAGCAGCTCTTCCGCTAAACATCTCGCCTTGGTGGGTACAAGTCAAGAAGTTTGCTCAAACAAAATGCACGGAGGACGGCCCGAGCTTTGATGTGTTGCGAATGTCGGTTGTCCAAAGCACACGGACTTTTCTGACTGTCGGGTTTCCAGGTTTGGGATGTTTTGCCCAGCTGTTCAGTGCCCCGGTCCTTCAGTTTTGGACTTGTTCTAGGTTTGGGTTTCGCGAGTTTGGTTTGGCACTAGACATCGTCAACCCCAGCGAGAAGCGGTTCCCTTGCTCTACCAGCATCGCTGGGAAACCGGGTGTAAGTCAAGCAAATGAGATGTAGTTGGAATTGAGGTAGTCCGTGGATAATCCAACCATATTCCCTGCTGAGAACCAGAAAGACAATTTCCCCGCCATATCCCTATAGCACTTTTGATATCGTTTGAAGTTGATCAGCGGGGGTCCCTTCCCCCCAGCAAAGGCTTCGGCTTGTGCGCTTCTGCCAGGTCATTCGATTTCTGCAGTGACGCGGCAGGAAGTGCAATGGACGCCCCTTCTTTGTTGGTTGATGTTGAGGGGAAAGCTGTTGCACCATTCTTAGCATGTGAAGGGTTTATGTTGTTTGTTGCATGTTTTAGAGGGGGCTGCCAGTAGTTGTTGGTTCTGCTGCATGGCACCGCCCTTGCAATGTTGTTGGCATTGTTTCAAGGGGCAACCGACAAGAAACCATCCTCTTGTCAGGTGTTCTTCATTGGAGACACGCCATATATGCTGCTTTGTGTGTGTTTTGTTGGTGATGCACCTCAGAACTGCTTTGCTAACCCTGGTGCGCGACCTAGAGATCAAAGAGATGGAAGTCGTAGAAGTCGATGCCGGTCGTTTTTGGTTCTCAATTGGGACGTGCCGAACAGTTCGAGCATGTAAAAGGGAGCATTTCAAATCCATGGTAATCTCCTCCCCCTATTAATGAATGACCCCCATTGAGAATAAATGCAAATCCGGGGCCCGAGACCAGATTTCCACTCCGCACAATTGATTTTCCATTGCGCCAATACTAAACCAATACTAAAGTCTTGGAATCCTTATTAGGGGGCACTGTTAGCAAGCTTCCAGCCTCACTTTTCAAAAGGTGGGTTCCTCAATTCCCCAAAAGGTTGCTTCCCCAAAAGCTGGCTTCTCAAAAGGTTGGGTTCTTTTGGTGGGTTCCCCAAAAGGTTGTTCTTGACTCTGTTGTCCCTGGCTGTCCCTGACTCCCTGGCTGGCTGCGTTTGTCACCTGGCTGCGGTCTGTCTGGTCTGGCTGCCTGGGCAGAGCTCTGTCCTGGGCAGAGCTCTGTCCCTGGCTGCCTGAGCAGTAAACTGGTAAACAAATAGAATGATACATCAAATGTCCTTATTAAACCGCTTACTCGCGGACCTTACAATTCAATCCATTTGTGCAAATCCTATGTGAACCCTCACATTGTTGGAAAAGCAAAAAAAACCAACCCCAAAAAACCCAATTTAAAAAATATGTATATTTTTGGGTGGATTTATTTATAATAGGGGGGGCCGCATTTGTTAGTAGGGGGAGCGGATTACCAAATGGGGGTGGCTCGTCTTTAAGATTCGACCCAACATGGAGTCGGTGTTCCTTTTGATTTCCCCTTTCAAAGGCCCCGAAAAGGGGTTGGGGTACCCTCAACAAAAAGGAAGAAACGCATCCAAATCGACTTCGTACTGTACAGTGTTAATCCTCTTTGGTTTTAGAATCCGGGTCCCGTTTGTACACCTGATTATGCTCGAGCTAGACAGTGGCCTGCATCAATGCTTTAGAGGCTTCCGTAGGGTGTCCATTGACTGGAGTTCGGCACAGCGCCGCAAGCTCTTGTGAAATCCATGTTTGACCAAGTAATGAGGTCAACTCTGTTTGCATTGTGTTAAGGATGCATGGAATCGCCGGCGTCGCCGACTTGCATGCCATGACATTTTGAATTTTGCGTGTTGTTGCCTGTGTGTCTATTCTGCCTGTTTGTTTGTCGGTCTGTCTGCCTATGTGGTCCGTGTATCCGTCTAAGACAAGGAGCTCCTGTCGATCGAAGGCTTTGCCTGCGGAAGTTCCAAGACTTGGATCAAGCCTTCACCTTCATCGACGGGGTCAACGGCAACGGGGTCATCGGCCTCAAAGAAATGGCGGCCGGGGCCTCGAAGCCTCGAAGCCCCGGGGCCTCGATCTGAATGGCGCATCGATTGGCCCATCGTTGGGCAAGGCCGTCCTGAATCCTTGGGTTGTGAAAGGGCGCTTGGTGGTTCGATAGATTGGGATGGGCGAACCCTCCGTTTCGGGCACAGAATCGGTGTTAAGCGGCCGAAACCGCTCGTCACGCCTGAATCGCCGGCTTTCACAACCATTTTGGGTGTTTTCGTTGTCCTTGGATGGTTGAAAGAAGGTGAATATTTGGTCCTTGGACCCTTAGGATTTTGCTTTGCCGGTTTGGGCCGCCTGTTTTGTTACAGCTGTGGCCTAGCAGCCTAGCTGCGTTGGGGCTGGTCCAAGCTCAACGACGACACTTCCGTACAAAAAACGGCCCCCTTGAGCATACTTCACAAAACAGATCGTGAAGCATCAGCTTGGAGCTACCTTCCATGTTGAGCAGCGCAGCTGGGTGGGCATGCGTGAGTCAAGGAGATAGCAACTTGCTCAAACATGCTCAAGCAGACAAGGTTGCCGACCCAAACACGGCGGATTCATCTGGCCTTGTTGAAAGAAATAATTGACTTAACGGTCAATCCGGAGATAAACTACCAAGACTCGGGCTCAAGAACAAGCCACTCTGGCCTCCATCTTCTCTGAGCAAATTGGAACGCATGTTTTGTCATCTTAGCATCGCGGTTTTCACATCGACCAAATTCAGCGGTTTGAATCTGGGAAAGCTTGAAGGAAATTGCTACTGGACACAAGCCATTTGCCAGCGTGAAGGGTCTTTTTGGGTAGGAGATTGTGCTGTGGTTTCCTTGTCCTAAGGATCCAGATAGATGTTGAAGCATTGGAGCCTCTGAGCATGGGGTTTTTGAGGCACCCCCTTTGTAACGTTTGTAAGATGTCAAAAGATCCCTCTACTTGGGCTTGGTGGTGGCGAACCCCTTAAGGAATATAGACCATGAGCAGGACTCCCTTACAAATCCATGGGCCCATGAGTTTTGACTAGAAACCTGGGAGAAGCTCCGATGGATCCAAGGACCGTGTGAAGCGCATCGGCAAGCTCCCAGGCGCTGCCGGGAGCCCCGCCGCCGTGGAAGATGTTGGGCGGTTCAATGCGACCAGGAGCTGAGGTTTGCCCCGGCACATCCAATCATTGAGGGGAATCAATGCCACCGCTGTGTCCAGTGGTTTCCGTTTCAAGCCTCGAAAGAGAACGCCACCGGTAAAATTACACGCCTTCCGAACCTGCGAATTGCTGCGGGGAATCCCTCGGATCATTTTCCGGATCCGGCGGAAGGCTCAGCGGTGCAGAAGGTGTTTCGCTTCCTGGACCCGGACAGCAGTGGCAGCATCTCCCGCAAGGAGCGGGCTCCGTTGGCAGGGAACGTTCCCCTGGGCTTCAGACCACTGGAGGGAACGTTCCTTTCATGGGACAGGTTTCCTGGATAGCCAAGTGGCTGTCTTTTTCAGTCACTGTTGCTGGCTTTTGGGGTAAAGTGCCTGGAAAAAAGCAGCAACTGGCGATCCAGGTTATTGCTCCGGGTGGAAAGTCCTTCGACCAGTCATCCCCTCGACTGCAGGAATTCATTGTGGCTCACCCAAATTGGTTGGCTTATTCAGCAGCCTGAGAATCTCAAGGATTTCGACCCCAACAATTCCAATTAAGTTCAGATTTGCGACCCTAAAACGTAAGCCACGAAGACCAATGATCCCTCCTAAGCTTTCAGCGAAAAAGATGCAGGCAAAGTCAGAAACTGAATTTTGTGCTTTTCTGATAGGGCACCCCATTTTTACTTTCTTATGGAGGGAAATGGAGACCAAGCATTTTGTACATCCATCTGTTTTGGAACCAAGTGTTGTCAATGTGAGCCGCCGTCCGTTTTTGTTTGCGGGGAGATGTGGGGGGGGCTTTACACAAGAAAGGAGAGAGTTTTGAACCATCGCGACTGCAAGCACGGCTCTGCAATTGAAGGTCAATGCTGAAACAACCCACCAGGAGACCTGGTATGCCACACACAAATGCAAACTTTCAGTTGGTTTCAAAGGGCGACCAAAATTAAAAAACAGAAACCAACCAATCCGCGGGAGGATATCCGTTTCGGTTTGAGGTTCCCATCTGCTTGAGGAGTGGTCAGCGCTGGGAGACCTGCAGAAGGAGGTTCGCATGCAGCTGGAGGAGTTCACTTTGTTTGCGCAGAGCGGCTCGGACGGAGCATGTCGAGCCCATAGTCTGAGTGGGACCCAGAGGCCTTCAGACGCTGCTTGAAATTTGGTGAAAGAACAGGGACCCGTATCTGGATCCTTTAACCAGGCGGCACCGGCACGGGTCCAAGGGGCCAAAAGTAACTGGGGCTTCATGCTTTCGAGACCCGAATTGCTTTTGCCTCGAGACCTCTGGCCAGGTGAAGGACATTCGTCATGTGTTGAATGGTATTGACTACCCTTGGGTCGAATGCAAACAACCTGGGTAGGGCCACAGGGAGCTCAAGAAATGGTGACGTTCGTTTTGGATTTCCTTTAAACCGACACCCCGAAAGGGTACCGTCAAGAAATGACGCCAATATTATGTTGTACCTTGGTACATTATTATATTTTCAGACAAGCATTTTTTGTGCAGCATGCAATATGTCAGGCGACCCTTAGTCGGTGGTTTGGATTGGTTTGAGGGATTTGAACCCCTTTTACAGGGGGAAGCTGAATGTGAGGATTAGAAGAATCTAGTTTTTGCACGATTCGGAGCACACGGAAATGAAGTTGTAACACTCGGGAAGTGGAGCGAGAGGCCGCTTGAGGGGGCGCACCAGACTTTTGACAGGATGTGTTGCGAAGCGGGGTGTGGGGCTCTAGGTGATGCGATGCGGATGTGTTTCAAAGTTGCGGGGTCCTGAACGGTGTACTTTCCCTCTGCATCTCTTTCTCTCTCCCTCTCTCTCGCTAACTCTTTCTCTCTTTCTCTCTCTCTCTCTCGCTCACTATATGTTGTTTTTTTGTGTTTTCTCTCTCTCTCTCTCTCCCCACGATGTCTCCAGATTCGAAAAAGTGCTGCAAAAGCAGCACCAAAATGAGGCATCGTTTAAGATGCATGGATCTGCCCGACATTACTAAGTTGATTCTGAACTTGGCTGGTCCCCATGTCACGACAGCGCTCCAAAATAGCAACAAACGCACCACGGGTTGCTTCGATCGGCTGGATATTCCGCAGCTGATCCTGCACCAGGCTCAGTGGGCTAGCATGATAGGCTGCACCAGTGCATTCACTGTGTCCCCTCGCAAGCCGGGCCGTTAAACCAAGCTGATGGGCCTCTCCAGCGAGAGGGATATGGAGCAGCTACTCTGACTCGGCAAGTAAACATCCACGTCCGTGGCGCAGAAAGCTGGTTGCAAGTATGCCACAATTTAGGTAACCACTTGAAACAAAGCGACGTCCCAAAAAAAGACAGCTTGATGATTGCAGCAAAAGAACAACACAAGGAATTCCGGAAAAAAAAGGGGGAAAAAAAAAAACAAAAAACATACTAATACGAGTGGGAGAGGGAGAGGGAGAGAGAGAGAGAGAGAGAGAGAGAGAGAGAGCAAAGAAGGAAGCAGAAAGAGGAGCAGGAAATGAGAGAAATAATAACATAGAAACAAAGACGTAAGCAAAGAAGCAAGAAAGAAAGAAAGAAATCAAGGAAGGAAGGAAGGAAGAATAGGAAGAAAGAGACAAAAAGGAAAGATAAAAATAGAAATGGGGGATAGAGAGAGAGAGAGAGAGAGAGCAGGGAGGGCCTAGAGCAGGAATAGAAAAAAGAGAGTAGGAAGAGGGAGCGAGAGAGAGCGCGTAGAGAAAGAAAGAGGTAGAGAGAGGTAGAAAGGGGAAGAGAAAGGGACAGAGAGAGAGAAGGAGAAGGATAGGGAGCGAGAGAGAGAGAGAGAGAGGGAGAGTGAGCAGAGAGACAAGGAGGGAGAAAGAGCAAGAAAGAGAAAGAGCAGATGAGGAGGAGGGGGAGAGAGAGAGAGAGAGAGAGAAAGAAAGAGAGCAGAAAGGGAATGAGAGCAGAAAGGGAAGCAACAAGAAGAACAGAAGGCAGAGAGAAGGAAAGTAGAAAGAGCAGGCAGAGTAGAAGGAGAAGGATAGCTCTGTTTTCTGCCCTTCAGTCATGCCCGCTTTCTCTTCCAAGATCCTCCAGGCCCCCAGGAGGTGGAAATAGAGAATGCAAAAGGCTCTCTACGACTGGCAGCCAGGGCACGAGTTGAACACAGTAGAGCTCCGCGACAAGAGAAACAAGCTTCGCTTGGCCAACCACCTTGACAAGAACAAGCAGAATGAACCCAGGAAGAGGAAGCACGACAGTGAGCTGAGGGCTATGCAGCGCAAGCCATGGCTGTCGCATTTTCATCGACGGCCGAGAGGCATGCGACAAGTTACTCTGTGGCTACGAGTGCAAGGGGTGTGCTACGAAGAACGGCAAGCACCACCCCACGGATAGCTGCGGAGACAGTAGCAGGTGCAAGAGCAGCTGAGGAGCGTTCAACCAATCCATGCGACTCACAAAGCGGACGTAGCGTTTGCTGCATTTACATGGGGCGATCCAGAGTGCGGTGGAGACCGTAGCCTGGTGCAGGACCTGCGGGATGTCCAGAGCTCAAAGAAACCTGCGGCGCATTTGCTGCCATTGTTCAGTCTGGAGCTGCTGTGACATGGGGTCATCCGCTGTATGGGGTGATTTCACTGCGGTGCTTGAAGGGCTTGGCTTGAGTAAGATGTATGTGAGTGACGTGGTCGGTTCAGAACACGGCGCACCGTACACCTCTGGAAAAGCACATCCAGAAAGGAGTAGATTGCACGCCGCCCTCTGAGTGTTCATCCCTACCAACAAACCCAACCAGGACCCTCAAATTAACTCTGAGCCTTGGGGCTTCACATGTTGAATGCAAAGCCGTTGGAAGCTTTCTACCAGGCCCCTGTAAGAAGGGCCAAGTTTGCACACGTGTGTGTTGCGTAACATGCTTCGAGATTGCTTCTTTGGCTTTTTTGCTCACCCAGAATGCTCCCTTTCATCTTCTCAATGGTAAACTTGGTGGCTCCCACGCATCCCTAGCTTTTTTGCTTTTTAGGGACTAGTGGGGTGTGTGTGTGTGTGTGTATTTATCCCACTAAAAGTTATTTATTTACTTTTAGCAGGGGGTCTGAGGACAGCTGAGTGAGCTGATCCCATCCCCAACCTCTGACTTTTTTACTTCCCACAACCGCCGCATCCGATTTGCGGACGCTCTCAGGAGAGTTTTCGCCAGCCCGGGGTGCATTGCAGCGGATTTGGGCCATGATCGATACTCGGAGACGCAAGCCAGCTAGCTGGAGTCCGGTTGGGTTCGAGGTTCCAGTTTGCTAGGTTTCTGGATGTCTAGGTTTATGTTTCCAGTTTCTTGTTTGTTTCTCGGACAGTAGCAAAAGACCCCTTGACAGTATTCAAGTAACGGCATCGCAGAAAGAGTGATGCTTCACAACCATGGTTTTCCTTCTTTTCAGCTTTGGAGCCTTTTCGGCCTCTGGTTTTGATTGTTTTTGGGCTTAGTTGATTGGATTTAGAGGAGTCTTCCGGTCGGTGGATGGATGCCTATCTTCGGGATCCCATAAGCTACACACAAGACGAGCAACCTGGAGGGTTCGACGTGCTGGAGAGCCCAAACAAAACACAGCGGGCTGGATGAAGGTGTTGGTTGCCCGATGCGCAAGCTCGATTCGTCGCAGGTTTTTGTTTGGAAACTGCACCCCGACTCCGTTGTTTCATTTGTGCGCCCATGCTCTGCAAAATTTGTTTTAAAAACTGCCTTGCGCAACTGGCCAGGTACCATGCTGTGCAAATTAGTTTACGTTCTCACCTACCCGGGTTTTGAAACCTTACACATGGCTTTGGAATTCGACATCCACTTTGGTTTGGCCATTGTGTGGAAAAAGCAGCCGTTTGCATCCCCGGAAAGTGGGGGAAGAAGGTGAGGCAGAGGCCCTAGGTGAAGCAGCCAAATTTTGGTTGAGTGGGCAGGCGGTCGAGTTTCTTCCCAGAAACTCCATACGTATGGAGTATTTACCGTCATTTCCCCTCCTAATAATTCTAGTATTGGTATTCCCTACATGGATTGGGTGGGGTTTGACTCTCAGCTGAGAGTTGGAAGCCGGAAAGCGACCCTTCCATGTTGAGTCTCAAGTTGCTGATTGGTTTCTTCAGACTTGTTGAGCCCCCACAGAAGTCTTCTCAAAAGGGCTTTGACCGAAATGGTGGTAACTTCATGTTTCATAACATTCTCATAACATTCTTGGTTTCAGGTTGGTTGAACAAAATGGTGGTAACTTCATGTTTCATAACATTCTCATAACATTATTGGTTTCAGGTTGGTTGAACATGGGTACGGGTAAATCCGTTGATGTCTGATCATTCGCCAGTGCCGAGTTGCAGTTCTTCAAATGAGCCCCCCCCCCCCCCCCGCCTTTATTGGCAAAAGAGAAATATCGGGAGCACCTGGAAAAGGGTTTCTTCACGGGGGTCAAGGACGCTGAGAACCAGGGCCAAGTGACGCGGAAGGAGTTCCAAGAGGCGCCAGGGTAGGGAAATGTGGGTTTTGGAGGGTGCCCTGTTTTTAGCTTGGTGTCAAGGGAAACCAACCTAGAACGCTCATTTGCTTGGGGGTTCCTGTGTCGGCACGGACCCATTTGGAGCCCACATGGCCAGTGATTTGGATGATTACAGATAAATAACAACTGGTTTCGCCATGTTATTGAGCTGGATGTCTTGTCAAGGTAGCAGGAATCAGTCCAGCACGAATCCACCTGTGGGCCTCTCCTCAGAGGATCCCAGTTGTCACCATATGGCAGGAAACCACAATTCTTTCCTGTAGGCTTGAAGTGGTGTCCCTTGCACATACTGCAACACGAGCGACCCTCCCTCTCACGTTGCCACCGGACTGGCACAGGTTTCCAGTCCAATCCTCCAAAAAATGCGGTTTTGACTCATCCCAGAAATTGCGCACTGACATGTGTCAGGTCGTTTTTTTGGGCTAGGCCCCAGACCATGCGGCGTCCAAAACCTGTATTTAGGGCTTTCCATACGCCTTGCGGGGACGTGGGGCTTCAGGGTAGCTGAAATCCTTTGGCCTTGGCAAATGCTTTCAGAGTAGTTTGTCTTGAGCAGAGGAATTTCACTGACGGTTTACTCAAAAGTACGAATTCCCCAACTATCAAGCATTGCCTCAGCAGGAGCCAAATCCAGCTCCCTGCACCCTCAAACCCATTGCAACCCAACAACATAGGTGGATTCTCTTTTTGTTTCCGGGTAGCTAGAGGGTGGTATGAACATTTCAGTAGGCACCACCGTGTTTGGTTTGAGGCTGGTCTGTTGGATGTGCTAGGCAGTGCGTCGCCTGGGCTTCTTCGGCCGAGGCATCGTCGCGGGGGGGGGGGGGGAGGGCGGAGGGTTGAGGGTTATGCGGGGTGTTTGTCCCCTTGATCTCCCTGAACGCATCCTCTTGCTGGCGCGGTAAGTAGGGAATGAGAAAGGTATGACCCTACCATGCAACTGGTGGTATCCTTCAAGGCAGTCCCTGGGTTCATTCGGTTCATTCCCACATTCGCAGCACCAGCCACTCCTTTGGTTGCCCTTTACCAAAGGGCGTCTGAGCTCCAATTCGAGAAACACACGATATTTGGGAATCAACGGGAATGTTGCTGGTTCTCAGGGAAAGGGCCTGGGGGAATGAACCGAAAGGGGATGGTAGGGAAGCACAAAGGGATGGTTCCAAGATCCTTGCCAGGAAAGCAAGGAATTGACAGCCCCAACAGTATCACTGGTTTTTCTTTTTTTGCAACTTGGGTACCGGAAGAACTTCTTGTTGCGAAATAGACATCATTGCGTCCCAGGCGTCATTGCGGAATTTCTGGACATTGACGGCAAGGCGTCTGGCAATCCACACCCTGCAAAGCGCCAGACATGTGCGGTGGGTGTGTTTTGTGGCAACGGTTGCATGGGCTTCGCGCGATTGTAATTTCTGCAGAGGAAGCCGCAAAGCAGGCTGACCACATGGTTGTGTTTCCTGGACTCCATATGCATTTAGCTTTACGCTGTATTGGGCAGGTCTCTCTCGGGGTGTCAACTGATATTTCCCCACTCACTATGTGAAGATCCATCACGCACATGTTCTTTGGTGCACGTTAAGATCCAAGTTTGGATTCTGTTCTTTTGGAAGTGACCTGCCGAGACAGAATCGCTGTGTCTCAACGTGCTTTGGTGACATACAAGAAGGGTGGAGATGACAAGCTTCGTTTTTTGGTTCTTCCGAACCAATCTAGGAGGTTCTTACCCTCCCATTGTGCCACAGAAACTGACTGGGGGCTTTTGGCTTGGACCATTTTGTTCTAAAAGGATGTGGTTTTCGTGGCAACGATTGGGGTTGTTAATCTGTGAGACGCCTTGGTTGCCTCTGCATCATGGATTTGTTTCGCCTCAGATGGTCCGAGACACGTCTGCGAGGCTGATCTCAGCTGCCACGGGTCAGAATTGGCATCAGCCACCATCCAAAACAATCGTCGACGCAGAACGAGGTGTGGACCTTCCCTTTGTTGCCACCTAGCGGCTTGACCTCTGGTCATTCAAATTGGTTGACCTCTCCCTGGTATTTGTGTTTCACCTTTAAACGCCTCCAAATGGGTTTGTCTCAAAAATTGGCGGCCCAAACGCTGTTTTCCTTTTGTTTCTCTTTGAAACCAGAAAGGCAACGTGGGTGTGTCTTTTTGCAAGCGTACCCTTTTTGGTGGTTTTCAAGGAGAACCAACAGGACAACCACAATCCTAAGGGTGCACTACAAAAGACGAGCCATACCTCAACAACCGACACAACCCCAAGTCGGCGGATTGCCAGGGCTTTGTGAGCTTGGAGGACATGCAGCAGCTGCGACTTGGACGGACCTAAAACTGTTTGTTTCCGGGTTTCAAAGTGTTTGTTTCTTTGTTAAATGCTAACAAAGACAATGAAACACATGTTTATATTTTCCTGCGCGTGTTGTTGTTTTATGCGTTTAAACATCCTTATTTTCCTGTTAGTTGTGTTTTGTTTATTGACTTCAGTGAATTGTGTGTGTGTGTGGTTGTTTTTGTTTACCATTTTAATTTTGGTGTCTCTTGTTTTTAAAGGTTTTGATTGAGTCAGGTTTGTTCCGCAGAAGGAAGGTTCAATCGATTTTTCTCATTTAGCCGATTTCGGTTTCGGGACCTCTGCCTGGTGTCGGAATGGATCGTTTGGTTGGGGCATGCCGGTGTGACTTCCTGGACTGTTGGGTCCTGGAATGAGAAGCTTTTCATCAGAATAGCCTCAACGGAAAGTAGCAACCCCTGGTTGCACCGAGCACATTTGTCTACTTTCCCTTTCTGGTTCTTGGAAGCACTGGAGCCAAATTCGGCTGATTCGTTGGCAACGAGACACCAGCTTGCCCGGGAAAAGGATCCCTTCGCGGGGAATGGATCTTCCGGGCATCCCAGAGGTACGTTCGACTGGGAGCCTAAGAACGGATGGATAAGACCTAGACTGTTTCTCCCAAGTCTGAAGGTAGCCTTCCTGTGTTGACCAAAGAACAGTCGCTTGGGAAACCATTTCGAAAGCCCGCATCCTATGGGTGTTAATTTCAATTACTCCAATTTGTGCAACCCGAACTCTCCTCCTTTGCTGCTCAAATGTGGTTGTGAAACGGTGTATTTCCACCGTTTGAATACCTTTGCTTTGAGTTTCCCTGGAATTTGCAACAGTTGTTTTAATGTAGAGTTATCCTTACACAGCTGTCTTGTCTTTTTTTAGGTTTACAATCTGATCTAACAGACATCCGCAGGGTCGCATTCAAAGGCTCCGGCTTGTGCTTGTGACAATTTCCGCTGGTTGGAGAGCACCACTAGCTGGTGTTCTTCGACTGAGCCTCATGAGCGATATGCACATGGAGCTTGGAGTCCTCGACCCCAGTACCTTAGCCCCAAGGATTCAAAAGAGACAACAGGCGAATGGACGACTGGGAAAAGCAAGAGGTTCATGGGTGGCATGCAAATGGCACCTTTCATAAATAGATTGAAGAGAGACAACCGGCGTAGGTTTTGAGGTTACCCTTATTGGAGCGGTGTTGGACGGAAACCGAAGGAAAGCCATTTTCGGGTCTCCTTTGTTGTTTTGACAGATGCCCAAAATTGCGGTCCCCGAAAAGTGTCCGCAGCTCAGGCGGCGCTTTCAGAGGGACCAGCGCTCCCAGAGCTTGCGCACGAAGAAGTCGAGGCATCGGCAGCGCAAAAGCGTTTTGAGTCACGGGTGCTTGGATTTCCGTGGGTCGCAGTAACAAACTTTAGTATTGGCCTAATTTGCATTTAGTATTGGCAATTGTTTGGGATCCCGAAAAAAAAATGTGGGAGGATTAATCAAAAGCTGCGATTCATCGGTTCTTTGGAGCCCGGTGTGGACATGTCTTGCCGGACATTTGGTGTAGGGCTCTGGGCTTCGGATCCCCAAAAGCACCCAAGGGAAGCTTGATTGAGGGTACTCAGGTTGGTTTCGCAGGAAACGAAGAGGAACCGAAGGCATTTTTGAGGTCCCTCTGTTTTGATGTTGGGGAGGGTTTGGTTACAACTCCCCAGACCAACAGCTGAAGTGTCTTGAGGTCTTTGGCGCCTGCCAAAGAAACGCGACAGCACCGAGGGCTTGCAACATCGCTTACGGCCTCCATCTTTTTCAGGCTGGTGAATTGATAGAGTCCATGGCATGCAGTGCCCCACGCAAGGTCAATTGCGTTTTCACAGCTGGCTTGGCTATGGAACCGAAAACTCGTGAGGGTTCAAAAGTGGACACCCGCCAACAGGCCCCTACACAAAACACTATCAGTTAAACCAAAACTTAGCTTCTATAAATAGGGGGGTCTGTCGTTTTCGCCGTACCCGAAAATAAAAGCGTAAACAATCACGTAAATAAATCAAGCTTTCTGGTTGGCCTGGCCCTTAACAGGAAGAGTCCGTAAATAATATGGTAAATAGTGAAGTAAATTAGTTGTAATTCATTTTCGCTTGCCCGATCTTGAGTGACCCTGCGTGAGCTGGACTTGGTGTCCCTCATGGACAGGGATGTGTACTGGCGAGAATCTTCCCCTTCGCGAATTTAACCTGCTCATATCACTGAAGGAAGGCAAAGCGTCATGAGTCATGAACCATTGGAAGAGCCGCGACAACTTTGACATGAATGTTCATGCGTACTGGTAGCTGCGAGCCACAGTTTTTGCTCGCGAGCATGTGTCGCGTTGGCAAAGCCAAAGAGCTCCGGACGCAAAAACGCGTGCGCCCATGCTTGCGCTTGGGTTGCGTTGCCATGCTAATAGGCAGCCAGACCCCCCACCAAGATACATGTCAATTTGTGTTTAGTGATCATGAGAAAGGAGATGTTGTAGGAACCGAGGACTAGGAACACTGCGTCTTGTCAAAGAACGTCCGGTATGTCCGGTCATTGGTTATGTCAGCTGCGTGAACAACATTAAGAATATTTTGAGGGCTCTTTCCAACAATCAAGTCTTAGTCAGCTTTTTGTTGGGCGACCTTGCGAGGGCCAATCTTGAAGAACATCAAGATTAACGTCTATGTTCCTAACATGCACCTGGCGCACAGACACACAGACACCACCCACACACACAAACACACATGCACACACGACTCTACGAGGTTGTCTCCGCGTGGCCGCTGATCCAACCAGTCAGGATTTGCAAAGGACGATTTTAAGCCTTGCCTTCTTGCAGCGTTGCTTGCCGCGTTGTGGTACTGTCGCGCGTTGTTTTTGTTTTTTTCTATTTGCCGTGGCTTTGCCTCGTTTGTCCGCAAGACCCAGAGAATCCAAGAACCGATTCCAGAAACCCAGTTGAGCAAAGGCCGGAAAAGAGGAGCGATCGATGCTGCCACATGTGCACGCAAGTTCTGCGGACGGACCTCCATGCTCAAAATGTGGCCCCTGAACGGTTCAGAACGGTTCAGCCAGCCTTTTTCTGCGCAAATGGTTGCGTAAATTTTCGCGTAAATTTCAGACAAGTCTTTGCCTTTTTGTGCTTTGAGATTTCGGATCGCTTTCGATGTTCCGATGCCGGCCTGACTTTTTACCTA